TAATGAAAACCTCCAAACTTACTGAATCACGAGGATCAGATCTTTGAGTAATTATTCTCTCTCTTCTGGACAAGTAATCTCTCATGCTTTTTCCCACATTTGAAAGATGTATTAAGAGAAAGAGACAAGAAAGGAGTTTGATTGAACCCAAGTTTTTAATTTAGTTTCAGTGATTGCTGCTACTTTTGCTGCTTTAGGCTTTTTCATCCTGAAATATTGCCTTTACCAGAATGCTTAATTTGATCATAATTAAAATTTCTTTGAGATACCTTGAAAGGCTTCCGCTAATAAGATAAACTAACAAGCTTATTTAAAACAATCTAATGCCTTTGTTTATCATCAAAATAAGAGCCATTTAATAGATATGGTGGCCCAGGAAGAAAGACAGAGTCTTCCAGAAATGTGTCAAGGCAAATAAAATAAATGTCTGATCCACCTAAGAAGCAGATTACTCACAGAGGCAGTTGATAGAATGTAACTGTGGAAAAGTATCAGGTACTCTCATAGCAAACACAATTTTATTGGTCTTCAGGATATCTCCAAATATCACACTCTTTTGCATTAGTTCCCATAAATTTCCTGGTTCTGGAGAATTCTAAGCAGTACAATTGACTGTAAATATACAGTCATACTGTATACAATTCATTTGTGCTTGAACTCAAACAACATGCAATGATGGACATTATAATTGTAGTTGCATTCACAATCATAAATAAAAAACAATGTTTTCCAGAAGAAGGCTTTATCAAAATAATATATCTGAGTGCAACGCTTCCTTACCCCACCCCCACCCTCAGAACAACTGTTCCATTAATAGAAGAGATGCTACAGCTTATTTTCTCAACCTGGACAATTCTCAGCAATGGAAAATTCAGTAAAGCCATACTCGAAGACTCTCAAATCTTTGAGAGAATTCGTATGGAGTAATGGTCTTTGTTGAATGTTATTCTTATCAGAATTCAGAATGATCCCATTGTTTAGAGATTAAAAAGAGAGAGGGATTTAGGGAGGACTTGCAGTTTAGAAGGACAATCTGTGTTTTCAATGCAAAAGGACCCAGATACAATCCCTGCCAACTGCATGAAGGAAAAAAATTCTGGCCTGAAACTCTGCAGAACTGCTGCCAGTCCGTGTTAATGTACCTCAGCAAAATGGTCTCAGCAGTCAATATGGCAGACACAATGTTTGCCATATGGTATATTGTTGAGGGATTGATGGATGGATTGATCATTGTTTCATAAGTAAATGTTAGTGTAGGGATGGAGATTGGGAGTCATGGTATGCTAGAGGAGAAGGAATAAATTTAATTTATTTTAAAATATATGCTCCCTTCTGTGATTGGCTACCTTGCAATAAGGTGTCCCAGAATTACTTAGCATCTGTGCAGAACTTTGAGAGTTAAATATCTCTGCTCCAGCCTGGGCTGAGGAAGATTAATTCATCACCATGGTCACAGTTTTCATCATGCCTCTTCCCCAGCCTAATAAATCTCTCTCAGCCCTTTTAGTGCCAGCAATTTGTCCAGAAACAACTCCACCATAGCCCTTTACAGTTTTCAGCACTAATATTCAGCACTATTGCAGCTTTTGTCAGGGTTCCAAGTAACAGATCCAACAAAATCAAAACTCTGAGGCCTGGAGTTTCCTCAAAGTAAAATTTTATTAGGAATGCCATCTTGGCACAGCTGGTGAAAACCTGACTCTGAAGGATCCAAAGTTTTCCCCACCTAAATCAAAACCCAAAGTTCATGCCCCTCAGGTCACACATCCATCACATGGCCCAATCAAGTCATAGTCCTCCTCCAGCTGTTTTTGGTCCATGCAGTGGTGAAATCCAATTTTTTTTACTACCGGTTCTGTGGGCGTGGCTTGGTGGGTGTGGTGTGGTGGCTTGGTGGGCATGACAGGGGAACGATACTGCAAAATCCACATTCCCTCCCCACTCCTGGGGGAAGGATATTGCAAAATCTCCATTCCCACCCCTCTCTGGGGCCAGTCAGAGTGGTATTTGCCAGTTCTCTGAACTGCTCAAAATTTCCACTGCTGGTTCTCCAAACTGCTCAAAATTTCTGCTACCGGTTCTCCAGAACCTGCCAGAACCTGATGGATTTCACCCCTGGGTCCATGCCTTCCAAGCACCTGGTGGGGGCATCCTTGACTCCCATGGGAAAGAATGATATTCTGCCTACACTTTTCCCCTAGCTATCTCTATCACCCCCTTCATGTTCCCATAGCTGTAACTGGCCTTGCTGTGGCAGTCCTGAAGATTTCCAAAATGGTTTCAGGGCTGACAGCTTTCTCTTTTTTCCTGAACCCAACCCAAATCCAACTCTTTTCTAGTGTTTTGATGGCCCTCTTATTCCCATCCTGGTATTGATCATGATATCCCTGACTTCCAATTCTCCTCCAGACTTTGAAGATACTTGCAAGAGCCAAAGGTTTTTGTTCAACTGACAAGATAAGGTCAAAAAGCCCATCCAAGTTTTCATATTTGCAATGGCTAGTTTACCTTCGATGCTGGACTGAATGCACAATATATGTAGCCAAGTATTAGTTATCAGAGCCCATAAATCATAGTTCAAACTATGGTCTAGCCATACGAGGACATGGGCGTTTGAAATTTTCTATCTGATTTCTCTAAATATCTCTAGAGGAAGGATAAATTGTCCATCAATTATTCAAGGGCAGGATACCTGTCAGCCCAGGAGGCCATCTTTTCCTTTGGATCTTCAGGGCTGCCACACTTGGTGGATGGGCATGCTGTCAGAAATGGGAGGGGTTGGATGGAGACGGGGTGAGATGTATAGCCATAACAACATTCTTTTCCCTGGGAGTCAAGGACGTTCAGCCTGCACCTGGAGAGGAGTGACTAGGAAACAACTCCAGTCAGGACGGTGACCTGATTGTACCATGTGATGGACATGTGGGTCCAGGAGAAGAGACTTTGACTTTCCTTTGGGTGGGGAAAATGCGGGGACCTTTCAGATTCGGGTTTTCCAGATGTGCCAATATGACATCTCTAATAAAATGGAACTTTGAGGAAAATACCTGCCTTAGAGTCTTACTTCTGTTCAGGGTTACTTGTCAGGGTTACTTGGAACCCTGACAATATCCTTTTAGTAGTGACAGGGGAATCAATCTTTTTTTTAAAAAAAGCCAGTGAGAAGAATTCTCTCAGGAGGACTTAACCTAGATTTTAATTTCATTATAAGAGCCTAGGAAGCTTACAGATCATTGGAGAGACATCAGTTCAATAAAAATCCAATCATTTCTACACATCTCATGTCCACTTTGTTACTAAATGAACAAAAAAAGAACCTGGTGCTTAAAACAATTTTTCAAAAATCCTCTTCATCTTTTAAAGAACCTTCAATGCAAATTCTCAGAGAAAGGTGAGTGACAATTTTGTTCTGAGCCCAAGTCCATAACCTAATCCAGGCAACCAAAAACTGCTTCCATCCAGAGGTTTTGAAGTACAGCTCCTATTAAATCAATCCCCAAGCACCAATGTCTAGGGATTGTGGGAGGCCTATTTCAAACTATATCTGGAGGGTAAAAGGTTGCCTACCCCAATTTCTGGTTTAAACGGAGATGAAAAATTCCAAAATTATAGCTCCGAGCCTTCTTTAACACCAATTTAAAAATCTTTTTATTACTGTATTATCTGACTCATGTCCTTAAATGCAGATTTTTAATACAGCTACTGAATCATATTATTCTCTTTCTCAAAAGAGTCCTAACAGGAAATTGAAAGAGGAGCTTTGATTTTCAGCCCCATATTTCCATTAAGAGCCTCCATCTTCCATAATTCATTGTTTCAGAGGAAAAGAGTTTATGTGTAACTGAGAATTTAATTGGCTGCCCTTTTATTTTAATTTCCAATGCTTTGTATTCAAGAATAAAATATAAAGAGAGGGATTTCTAATAAACAGTACTATGTCAGATAATATTTGCCCTTTGTTTTTGTTGTTGTTCTTTAAAGACATTGGGTTTGGGTCTTCCAAAAATCCAAGGACTGTAATGGAAATCTGTCTTCAACATCACAAAACAAAGTGATAAGACCACTTTCCACATGAAAACAACAAATACTCTCTTCACCGTCGTTATTTTTACAGCTCACCTACCTAACCTGAAAATCATAGACTGAACCAGCAAGAGGAAAGGCAGGTCCAAAATGCCATTAACATTGACACAATATGTTCTCCTCCTGCCCCCGTGCTCCCTACAAAAGACAGCATCATGTAAAGTTTTTTTCAAAATGTTTTTCACACAACAGAACTAGAATTAGAAGGCAAGAACATTGCTATCTTAAGAAATCCTGCCATCAAAAAATAACAAAGGTGAACAAACCTTTTAGCATGGGGTGCAGTTTATGGGTCAATGTCTCTCTCCCACCCACCCCTCTCTCACACACACACATACATACACACACATGGAGGGGGGGAAGAGACTTTTAAATACAATGCACTCATACAAAGCATCCCTCCAATGATATCACCACTAAAAGTAGAAGGCACAGCCATCTGTTTCATTAACATTGCTGGATAAGGAGAACTAAAGTCTGAAACTCCCATCTCTTAACTGCTCTAACTTCATCAGGGAGAAAGATTTTCTTTTATGTGGTTTCAGTGGAGCCAAAGTAGTCGTCTCTTTGCTGCTCTAAGCACTGGGGAAACGGTCATTTGAAGCAGCATCAGCAAAAGAGAAACAGCTTTAATTTCCACACCCAAAGAATCTCAGCTGCATCAAGACCCCTTGGAAGGGAAAATTAGAGTGGGCTTTCCCCCATTCTTCACTGAGATCACTGGTAGCAGAGGATGAGGAAAGTTCAGTGGAGTAAAGGAGCCCAAGAATATATGGCACATTGAAGAAAAGGACTTCAGGAAGTTGGGTGCAGTCCATATGTGTTGCCTATATTTGCACTAAAACTGATGCAGTGCAAGCCTCCCACCTTCTCTCCTTATTTTCTAAGGTTTTCTATCTCTATTTTATCCTCTTAAGAATCTGGCTGGCTGATTACACTAAGAGATAGTGTTTGATGGAAGATCATCAGTCATCAAAACAGAGACCCAATGGATTTGGGCAGAGGTGGGTTTCACATAATTTTACCACTGGTTCGCCATGCACCAACAATGTGAGTGTGTATGGCTTGCATCCATGTGCGCTGCTTAGAAAATGTCGCTAAATAGGACACCATAGCACCAGAGTGGGTGGCCGGGCCTACCCACAAGTTGCCACTTACCGGTAGGGTTGCCAGGTGTCCACTATTTGAGCAGACAGTCCACTTTTTTCACATTATGTTCACTATTTTTTTTCACAAAATAGTGGACATTTTTTTTATTCAAAAGCTTTATGATGAAATGATACGTAATCTAAAGCTGTACAGTCTAAGAGAGTAAAGACAGGAGAATCGCGTTTTGTCTTTTTTTTCATAAGTTAGAATGAGACAAAGATTGAGTATCCATTGAACTCGATTCTCCAAAAAAATTAATGATGAGATTAAAATAAAAATATATTATAAAATTATGTACAGTTCACATTTTTAAAATGTATTGTAGCTTGTGTCAACTGACCTAAAATGGCGTGTTAAAATGTTTGTAAGAAAATATATAATTTAATTGTAAAAAATTTTTTTATTTTTTTACTACTTAACAGCCCACCCCACCCCACCCCGCTTGTCCGCTATTTTTTGGAAGCAGACCTGGCAACCCTACTTACCGGTTCACCTGAACTGGTCCTAACCGGCTGAATACCACCACTGGATTTGGTTCTTTGTATTTCTAATTCAAAATAAAGCATTACACCATTTGACTATGTTGACTTTTATTGTGTTCTCTTCAGTATCCAGTTCTAGATTTTAATTTTACAAAGATGTACTGGAGTTTATTCTGAGGATAATCATCATGGCTGAAGGATCTGAAAAGAAGGAAGAGCTTAGCCTGGAAAAAAGACAGCTGGAAGGAGGAGCGCTGTGATAGTGTTCAAATATGTGTTATTGGATCAGGCATGAAAATTACAGCGAAGCAAAATTCTCTTAAAATTTAAAATAGAATTCTCAATGTGAACTTTTAAAGAACAAAGCCAACTATTTGAGACAATCTCTCCTTTATGGAAGAACACTTAAGCAAAGGATGGGTATCCTTCTCTCTGCACTCTCTATGCAACATCCCACTCAACAATAGGACTCCGTTCAAGATCCTTTCCTGCTTGCATTTCAGGGGTTTCTGAAATTCTTTGGAAATGTATGGGCAGCTCCTAAATGAAAAGACTGACAATAATGAACCAGTAACTGGAAAATGCCTTGTTGCTTGTCCTTTTTGATTCCTTTGCAATGTGCAATATAGGAAGTCCTTTTTTGTGTGTGACTTGCTGACCTAGGGGAACCAGAGGCTTGGACAATGCAGATTTGTAAGAAGTATATTAATTCTAGAATATGCCTTTTGAATTATTTGCAACATGCTGAACTGCTTGATATCCCAGTATAAACAACTCGCTTCAATCCTGTGTTGATTCATTTCACAAGAAGTGAAGCAAAACTTTCTAAATTCCTGATAACCTCTTTTCTTTGATGAACCCAGGATGATAGCAAAAGCCTCCATAGGGAATGGTTGCTCAGTAAATGTGAAAAATTATAGAGATGGTGGGAAAAGAATGGAAAAGGTAGCGATAAGTCAGTTGTCAACTAATTTCATAAATGGCAAAACCATCCAGATGGGGAGAAATCTGGGAAAAGGAATCTGGGAATTTAAATATTTATAGCAGATATTTCAACAGGAAAGAGAGGTTAATTATTTTGCGGCTCACTCTCTCTGGAAGCAGTCCTGATGAATTTGCACCCAACCAGACAAACACACCCAATTTGGAGAAAGAATATGAATTTGTGCAATTTCCTTCCCTTTCTCATCCAGGGAATAGAAGCAAGGGGATTTTTTACTCTTAGACTTAAAGCAGCTCGGAATAGATCAGTGACTGTTAACTTCTTGTTCTCAGAATCACAAGAAAGAGACGATTATCATGACTCATTTTCAAATAGCTTTTTCAATAGAAATGATGGCAGTGTGGAATCATCTCTATTATGATTACTCCCCGTGTGTTTAATAATTGGCCCTTTTATGCTATTAAAAATTGCAAACTGCCGGCAGTTTTATAAGAGACCTAAACCGTTTAAGACTTCATGTTTTGCATCTCTGCTCTTTATTACGGCAATGAAGTGAAATTATTGCAAGATAGTGGGGAGGAAGGCCAAAGCTGACAGTGTTTGTTCAATTTTCTGGAGCCTGAAATGTTCAATTCAAGACATATCCCATGTAAAACCAATTGAGCTTATTTCAAGGGGAATCTAGTACGGATGCCTCAAAAGAATATTTCATAAAAGCAAAGCTGTGCATAATGATGCCTTTTACAAGTCTGCATTTGATACATCATTACCATAAATTTGTGCAAAGAAAAAAGAAAGGAGAAGGGAAAGACCACCACTCTCTCCATTCTTTTCAGAGCTGCGGAAAAAAAGACAAGGGAATGCTTTTCTACTCCGTCAGATCTTGTAATACAGTGCAAGTCAGACTGCTGAGCAGACTGAATAATACCAAAGAATCTCACTAAGTACCCAGCCACAGCTTCAAATTACAAAGCTCTGACACTCTTCAATAATCTTCTTTTTAAAAGAAATAAAATTGAAGGAAGCATGTGGAATTAAAGAAAGGAAAATAGAAGGCATGAGGAAAACCCCAAAGGTATCTTAAATGCCTTGGAATGCCATTCAGAGGGATTATTTAATGCCAGCTGAGATGCTGAAAACATGCTGGGTTTTCTTTGCTTTTAAAAAATATCTGACTCCTTTAGGTTCAGTAAATCTCCAATAAGATAATTCATATACTGTGTGCCATGCATTGCCTTCCAACAAAGAAGTAAACCCTGGATTATCTGTCGATGCTGAAATAAGACACTTTTTATCAAGCATAGGCATCACTAGAAAGTCCATTGGCTCCTTCCCATATCTTTTCCATTCAAAGGGATCAGTCAAAGATAACACCTCCTGAAAATTAATATATGCATTCATAGAAAATATTTCTTTTTGTTTTTATAGAAAAGCATACCTAAGGCTAATCAAAATAGTTAAAAATAAAATAGCCACTTCTAAAATAGCCGTCTGGAAAGTTGAAGCCATCAAAATTATATTTTATCAAAACTTCAAAAGATAGGGAAAATACCAGGAATTCATTCCATTCCTCAATATCGTTTGGAGAAGAAAAGGTAAGTATGCCCCCTACAGCCCCCACCCCCCCCAAAAAAAGATAATTTTTTGTACAGCTCCTGAGTCCAGATGGCGGCTACTGATGGTAAATTACAGGTGTAACAAGACCACTTTCATCCAAGATTTAATTGATGATGAGCAAGCAAACCTATAATTCCTTAGCAAAACCTGGTTGGGCAGGATAAGTCCTCGACTTACAACAGTTCATTTAATGACTATTCAAAGTTACAACTGCACTGAAAAGAAGGGACGTATGACCATTTTTCACACTTATGACCTTTGTAGCATCCCCATGATCATGTGATCAAAATTCAGATGCTTGGCAACTGGTTCATACTTATGACCCAAAGTCATGTAATCACCTTCTGTGACCTTCTGACAAGCAAAGTCAATGGGGAAGCCAGATTCACTTAACAATCATGTTACTAACTCATCAGCCGCAGTGATTCACTTAAGAACTGTGGCAAGAAAGGTTGAAAACTGGGGCAAAACTCACTTAACAAATGTCTAATACTTAGCAACATAAATTGTGGGCTCAGTTGTGGTTGTACATTGAGAGCTACCCATATAGCCCTTTCTTAAAAATGCCCTTCAGGGTTTTGTTGTGGCTCCATTGCCTGAGCCTGGGCTATCAACAGATGCAGACTCTAAGAGTGAGGGGGAGGAGTTGGCAAAGCCTCCCTCTCCAGGACCCTCCTCTCTGGCAATGCCTCCGGAGAACACCAAAGGCCAAACGATAGGCTCAGAGCCAAGCACGTCCCCGCAGCCACAGGTGGACAGCGACGAGAAAAATAAGTGCTGGCTGGACCCTCACCAGAGGCGCAGGGAGAAGCATGTGCAGCAGAGGGGAAGGCGTGCCAGAGATTAGCTGAGTCACTGGGCCACACCCCACAGGCTATAAAAGGGAGTATGGTGGCCATTCGGACTCTGTGACCGACAAAGCTAATCTCTGGCGAGGCACTTTGCACCTTCGGACACAACACCTATTTGCTGTGGATTTAATTACAAACTGGACTATTCAAACTGTGTGTATTTTTGTCTGTGTTATCGGAGTAAAAGCTCTTGGCAGGCAGCCACAGAGTTGCTGCCAAGTTCCTTATCACTGACGTTGAGTGTTTGAAGAGTTTATTTAACCCTCGGCTGGCTGGTTGGGTGTGTGCGTGGTACGGGGACAGAACAGGTTTGGGGTTCTTTAGCAGTTCAAACACCAGGGATGGGAATGACGTAGCAATAGTCTTAAAAGAAACCTTGCATGTAGCCTGCTAGACCATAGAGAAAATTTGAGAGGCCTGTTTGTATACTGACTTTTCTCCTCCCTAATTAAGTCCTTGAGCTTCTGGATCCTGTCACTGTGCTGGTAATGGAGTTGCCTTGTGGTGCTGAGAGACTTCAATGTTCATGTCCTGACAGCAGGTTATTAAAAAGCTCAGGGCTTCATGGGCTTATCCCAAGTAATACCTGGACTAATTCACATAGGCAGATATGCATTAGACCTAGCTGTTGCCTTGGAGTGGATGGTATGTGATCTGAATGACCTTTGCTATAACAGGATAACATTCCTGGGATGTCTGCTAGATGGTTGACCCTATTGATATTGCCTGCTTAATGATTCCAAAAATGTGCTTCAGGAATTTTCCAGCCATCTGGCAGGCAGCCCTATAGCACATCAGTTTGCTTCCTGGAAAAGGGAGACAACAAAAGTCCTCAATGTGACTGCTTCCTCCCAAACAGCTTTTCACTGTTGGCCAATCCCAAGGAATTCCTTGATTTACTGAGGATTTCCAGGAAATAAAGTGGCAGAAGAGGCAATTGGTATGACAGTGGAGGAAGACAAAAATGTATTTTACCTGAGTACAGATATGAGTTTCTGAGCCTACACCAAGGCAATAAGAATGGCAAAACATTTGCCCTTCTGTGCTTTTATTATATAATGGTTTGTATTCCAGCAGTCTTATTTGAGGTGGGGACCAATGAGCAGGAAATTTTGCTGTCTGGTCATAATGACCTGTTAGCACAACATATTGCTGATGAAGTCACTGCAGAGGGAAGCGGAGATAATGAACAGATGCAAAAGCCACAAATATATAAAAGAGATGGTAAACTAAATGTCAACTTTGAAAAAGAAGTGTAAGGCAGAGACTTAAAAATAACCTGCCTAGATTCGGATTAATATAAAGAAAGGACACTTGGGCAGACTTTCAAGATTCTGTTAATACACCCAATCACAATAAAGTTCCAATAATTCTTGTACTATCTGATTCCTGACTGGGATTACCTTGAAGGGCTGTCAGTCATTCATATTTACCATAATTTTGAGCAGAACCTAATGTGAGGCTTGAGGAAATGTCCTGTAAAGTTGAAGAAACATCTTGTAAATGAAGTAGAGATGATGCCCTGTAGTAAGACCTGTGCCACCTGTGGCCTTGATTCCTGCTCCTTCATATTGCTGAAAATGAGATGAGTCTAGCAAATTGGGTCCTGAAAATAGTCCATACTTCACAGGAAAAGCAGGGTGGGGGTGTTTCTGCCAGCAATTTTAGTCACTGATCCAACAATGAGAATAAATTACTGAGCAGTGTCAAAAAATGAAGTAGTTGTAGTGAGTGCAAACAAGGAACATGAGTTCTTTGGAACTCACAAACAATAGCAATTAAACTTTATCCTGCATTTAGTTATTGCTTTCTTTGTTCAATTTCTCTCATCTTCTCCAAAAGATGCATTGGACATAATTTCCTTTAATTTCTCCTCTCAACGAGCCACACTTCTCTTTTTTATTTCCTCAACTCACCTACTTTCTGCTAACACATCTAACAAAAAAATATACGTTTCACATTGTCTTCGCTTTTCTCCCAACCAACTACCTTCTCCAATTCCTTCAATAATGGAATCATTTAACATGTTTTTCTTAATGTTGGTTTCTTCCCTGCTTATGTCAACTCCAACAAAAGAGCCATTTTTCACTGTTTCCCACCCCTTAATTTTGATCTCCAACCCTATCCACCTTCTCTACTAATAAGGCCAGCATATTATTCTTTCACTTTGAAGTCTTTGATTCTACTTTGCAGCAGTCCACCTAAGATAGCAGCTATTGTTCTGGGTAAGTATCGAAGTCAAAGTCTAGCTGTTGGGAGTTCTTTCTTCTTTTTTCAAAGTGCAGAAGTAAGGCTTAGCTGTTCCCATTTCCTCCACCTTCTTCTCAATTACAATTGAGAAAGAAAACATTTTTGATGGCATTGGGATAGTAGCATTAAATCCAGGCAGCAGTAGCTATCATACCATTGACAAAGCAAGAAAGAAACCAGCAAAGAAAGGAAAGAGCAACTTAGAAGAATCCATGGAGAAGGCAAGCACATTGAGGTCAAGCTATAAGATGAAACAGGCAACATTTTTTTGTCTACTTTCTAAAATATTTAAGGTTTAATTTGTTTGGCTTCCAAGGAACTCAGGAAGTATAATGTTGAGAACTGATGGCAGCTGAAATGATGGAACTGAACTCTTAAGTCTTGTTTTCATTTTGAAGTAACTTGCTGGAATCATTTAAATACTTATTTTCAAATATCAAAGAAAGAAAAAAATCACACCACCTACTCATCAGTTTGCCACAAATTTTTCACTGCAAACTTAAGCCCTATCTTGAGACCCAACAAAAATCAGGTTGGGACCTGAATGTAGTCTGTAAGTCTTGGGTACTCTGTCCTTGCAGTGGGTAGAAGATGTCAGTGGGAAAAGAAGATTGGCTTACAGTGCAGTAAGGGTGGCTCTGGCCTTAGAGAAATGGGTTCTTAACAATCAGGTGCAGCCATCATAAGCAGATGTGGGGAACAATGGCCCAGCAGTTAAAGATGCTAAGCTGTCAGCCAGCGTTTAAGACCAGAGCACCTTCTGATGGGGTGAACTCCCATTAATTACCCCAGCTCCTACCAACTTGACAGTTCAAAAGCATTCGAATGAGAGTACCTAAATAGGTGCCACTGGGAAGGCAACAGCATCCCATGCACCTTGGTATACATGGCCACATGACCACGGAAGTATCCTCAGCAAACGCTGATTCCTCAGCTAAGCAAAAGAGATGAGCATCACCCTCTAGAGTCAGACACAATTGGACAGAGGAAACCTTTATCTTCACTTTTATCATAAGCAGAAGTTAAATAGAGTATGTTCAAAATTCCGAAGGGGGTGCAAGCAGAATATGGGCCATACATTTCCCACCTGTAATCTGCACTGGTTATAAGCAGTTCTTGAAAGACTGCTTACCCAGCCTTTCCTAGGAAAACCAGGGACAAAACCTGATGCAAAGCACTGTGTTCTGTCCATGAGCTATAATGTTTCCCTTCAGTAACTTACTTTTCTCAGTTACTCACTTCACACTCTCCAAGGATTAACTGATTGCAATGGATACAGGTGAGCCGTGTTTTGTTTTAGCAGCACATTTACAACATGGAGAAAGTTCCTTTAGGGATTATGGGTTACCCATAATTTGTCTGACCTTTTCTTCACTGTTAATGGCACTATCCATACAGTAGTATATCATCATCATCTTCCTCACTCTCATGATGCATTTCACTAATAGATCACTAGGAAGGAAGCTCCATCTGAAGATATATTAGTGTAATACATCATTGTGAGAACAGATGTGCTTCCCCCATGGCAGAAGAAGGCAGTAACCAAGAAGAGGCAACACCAAGAACCAATCATTTAATTATGTAATGATTAATAGTCCCTAGTTGCCGTTCATTATTACAAACAACATTTTAGATTATTAAACATCAGTGTTCCTTGCTGTTCTACATTATACTTTCCACACAGGAGCAAATGGCTTGTCAATTTCACACTCATTTCTAGTTAGTTTCATTTTCTGGGTCTCTTGGAAATTAGCACAATGCTTACTGTTCAGATTGCCAATTATCCAGAAGAATATTTCACCATTTTAAAACAGCACAAAAAGCTTTTTGCAATTAACATACTGAGTAACAGCTCCTATTAAACTCACTATATTAGCCATTGGAACAATATAATTTCCACTTTGGAAGTCATAGGTGGAAAACTTCTGCATTAAGTAATCAGATATTAGTAACCTGATAGTCCCATTTTGCAGCACCTCTGTGATAGCCACTATTACCTGAAGAAAGAAAAAACAATACCAAAATAAATTTATTTTCTCTCCATAAAATAGCATGTATTTTATTCCTAAAACTCTGTTAGTCCTGATTTCAGAAAGTGAAATATTCCTAATGCATGAAACAATATACAACTTCTATTACATTTAATACATTTTAGATTGCTTTAATAATAATAAAAAGCCTCCTTTTTATTAAATTATCCCTTTAATATACATCGTCTAACATACTAATGATTAGAGCTAAAGTGGAAGAAAAACTCAGGAGTCAAATGGAGGGCAAAGTGAGAATACAGGTTCAGTCTTCCTGAGTTGGGAAAGGGATTCTTTTAAGATATCCAGATGTTGCTGAGAAGCAATTCAGAGCATTTGCACTCATCATAGGAAAGAAAATGCATTTATTTATTTAGGTATGGCAAAAATGTTAAAAAGCACATCACTATTACATTCTCAATAAACAAATATAAAATTATTCTATTTACAAATTCAAAGGTAAACTATTTATATAGTCAATACAAGATGTTCCACAATATGTCCCATTGTCTGCTTTTGGAGCACAGGTGCATTCCGAAGAAGAGAGCTTTCCCCATTTATGGAAAAGACTAGTGCATCTGACATGTTGAGTCCTAATCCTGTTGAGGATTGACCAGGTCTTAGTTTGGTTCAGCTGTAAAGCAGGAAATGTTGTGACACTTTGGAGGAGCAATAGAGGACTATTCTGCTTATGGCCAAAAATGGTCCTCTATTGCTCCTCCAGAGTGTCACACATTCCCTGCTTTACAGCTGAACCACAAAGATTCAATGTACCCATAGGATCAAGTCAATCCTCAACAGGATTTGGACTCAACATGTCAGATGCACTAGTCTCTTCCATAAATGAGGAAAGCTCTCTTCTTCAGAATGCACCTGTGCTCCAAAAGCAGACAATGGGACATATTGTGGAACAGTGCTCTTTGAGCACATAGCAGAGAAACCCCAAAGACTTTCTGTATACAATTCCATCATGTATGGAGAAGAACATTAAAATGTAATTCAGGAACATCTGAGGGCCATATGTGCTCTATCTAATCTATTGTTTCAGATTTTCCAAGTGATAGTGCTTAGTTGATCATGGTGATTACAAAAAAAGCTAAGTAGCTTGATCATTTTTTATATAGGCAACTGTTTAATAACTGTTTAACTGTTAAATAGGCAACAGACTTGATCATTTTTTAAATAGGCAACTGTCAGCAAATTCCTGTGCTATAGGCTAGATTGGGAAATTTTAAAAAAATCCTATAAGAAAACAGCAACAAACCACTTCTGTATCAAGATTTGTTGAAAGAAAAATTTATATATTATACCCAAAGTATTTATCTGGATACAGAACATTGCAGGTTTAATCCTTGGAACATCTTAAAGATAGAGCAAGAAAAACTACTGTCTGAAATCTAGACAGTAGCTGACTGTACAATGCATACATCATTCAGACGTGCACATTCATAACCCATCCATAAATTTCATTCCTGCGCCCAGCGCTGCACTTAAGTTTTAAAACAGCCTTCATGAACCTCCATCATAACTATTTTAAAGCCAGGTCAAAACAGGGGATGATTTCTTTAATGGGATTCACCATGGGTAGCAGTTAGTCTTCCTCTCCTTCCACAGAAGCCTCTCTCATGCAAGAATTAAACAGCTTTTGTCCATATCAACAGTTATTTTAAAGTTTTCTGAAAGGCTTTTTCCTATTTGGACTGTTCGGAGGTTAGACCTGTTATCCTATCCTGGATACAAGGACAAAGCCTGAAAAGGTTGCAGAACTTGGAAAACTTCTCTTCCTGCTTTACGATAGTGGCTTGATAATTCCTGTTGCTATCTCATATCTTCTAGGAGTATTTCACCAAATATAGTTTATAGTTTACTTTATTGTCATTGCACATGGTACAACAAAATTAAATGCCGTCTTCAGTGTACATTATAACTATAAAAATAAAAACACAAACATACATCCTTTACGTTCTATATATAATTGAAATTGAAAACCCGATATTGCACTATACAGTAGAATTCAATATGGTTATTGCCCTGGGATAGAAACTGTTTTTCTGCCTATTTGTCCTTTTTTTTATTGACCTATACCGTCTGCCAGATGGTAATAGTTCAAAAAAGGGGTACCCAGGATGAGATGGATCTTTAAGAATATTTTGAACTTTCTTAAGGCAGCAGGAGCCATAGAGCTCTTCCAAGGAGGAGAGAGGGCAACCAATGATCCTCTGGGCAATGACGTTGACCCTCTGGAGTGCTGTCCTATCTGCCACTGTGCAATTGGCAAACCATACACAGATGCAGTAAGTTAAAATACTCTCTATGGTGCAGCAGTAGAAGGTCACCAGCAGTTTTTCATTCTGTTGTTGTTTCCTGAGACATCTCAGGTAGTATAATCTCTGCTGGGCCCTTTTGACCAGTGCTGCAATGTGACTGCCCCAGGTCAGGTCCTTTTTTATGATAACAGCCAAATACTTAAAACTGGCCACTTGCTCCACTCTGTCTCCATTGATAAGCAAGAGCTGGATGTCTGATCTATTCCTTCTATAATCCACTATAAACTCCTTGGTCTTATTTGTGTTAAGGACTAAGTTATTGTCTCCACACCACGAAAGCAACCGTTCCACCATACTCCTAGAATCCTTCCACTATCTGCAAGGGATGTGAGAGAGAGGCACTGTTTTTCTGATCATGAAAAAGTATGAATGTAAAATCTCAATAGTGCCACCATTTGCATAGAGATGTGCTCTCAATCCTACATCTCCCCCTTAACAAATAATAATAATAATAATAATAATAATAATAATAATAATAATAATAATAATAATAATAATATTTTTATTTCTATACCGCCCTTCTCCCGAAGGACTCAGGGCGGTGTACAGCCAATTTAAAAACACAAGACAAAACAATGATTAAAAATTAAAATAATTAAATAGATTTGGCCCGGTTTAAAACCCCGGAAATTTAAAATACCCCAATTTAAAATTATTATGTTGATAGCCCGGCCTGGCGGAACAACAGGATCTTCAGTGCGCAGCGAAACACCTGGAGGTCGGAGATCTTACGTATTTCCGGGGGCAGTTCATTCCACAGGGCTCATAGCAAAGAGAGAATGTAAAACTTTAAACTTGTTCAAATACAAGCATTCAAGTGCTGAAGGATATACAGTATATTTTTAGCCTCTCACCAATCGATTGGCAAAAGTGAGCAAACAGGTATTTGGCAAGAGAGCTGGAAGAGGCAGAAAAGAAGAGAGGAAGAGCTGAGGGAGAGAGATTGCTGACTTTGCTCTTCATGCTGCTGCAGATTGACTCTTAACTGCTGCTGATAATTTCTTAAGTGCTAGTGGTTCACTGCAGCTAGTTTCCCGAGTCTTTGATTGGATCTTGGTTTTGCTGACCTAGATGAACCAGCTCAAGGTGGCATGTAATAAACTCCAGTTTCCAGGGGTGAGTTCATTGCACTGAACTGTCAGCTTGAAGTCTCTGAAGGACGAGGTCCTCAAGCAGATTGTTAGATTGTTTGTATTTGTAAATACTTGGATATGCATATGAGGGGAAAATAGGATCCAGCATAGGTTGGTTTCAAACAAATCATATACTAAACTCATCTTTTTCTTTGACAGGGTTACTAGCTTAGCAGATCAGAGGAATTCTGTGTACCAGGGTAATAGCAGAATCTTCAAAAGAGGGACTCATGACATTCTCCTCACAGCAACTGTCTACTGAGTGTATGAATCTTCACCTCAGATGTGTATTTCATAATTTTGTCTCCAGCTCCCATTTTAAATCATCCTGTTCATACTCATCATGCTTCACCCAAACACATTTTAATCAGTTCCTGTGAGTTACCACTTATCACATGTTAGCAATTTAGGTACCTCAGAAACATTGTCCCCAACAATTCCAATCTATAATTGCATAGGAAATTATTTTCTGATTCATTCCACATTTCCAGATGTAAATGTGCAGGATCTGAATCCACACCCTTTGTCATAATGGAGGAGGCAGAGCACCATTTCAGTCCTAAAACTGGTGCATGCTGACTTCTAAGAATGCAGAGTTAAAAGCATGGGACAGTTAATCTGCTTGGAGATCCTTCAGTACTGTTGTCATTTCTTCCATTGCTTTCAGTTTAAAGCCACAGTAATGATGTGGCAGGCAGTGAGAAGTTCCCACACCCATCTCTACCTGAAAGATAGAACACTGATACTTGCAGAGGCTGTACTGGCACATTTGCTTAAGTCTCTGTATTATTATTTTTTTAATTTGATTTTATATGCCGCCCTTCTCCGGAGACTCAGGGCGGCTTACAATGCGTTAAGCAATAGCCTTCATACTTTTGTATATTTATACAAAGTCAGCTTATTGCCCCCACAAACTGGGTCCTCAATTTACCTACCTTAGAAAGGATGGAAGGCTGAGTCAACCTTGAGCCTGGTAAGGTTCAAACCTGCAGTAATTGCAGGCAGCTGTGTTAATGACAGGGTGCTCTAAACCACTGTACTACCAAGGCTCTATATTGTGACTGTAACACATTAATGCCATAAATGCAATAACGAATAAATAAATTTCCCACCAAAGTGCAAAGAGGGTGTATAGTGTTTTGTATGACAGCATACAAAACATTTTTATTTTACAGAAAGCTACAAACGAATGAATGGATCCAGTTTTTAAAGATTTAAAATGTAAATCCATAAAAAGAAAGCAAAATAACAGATCAGAAGACTTTCCTAATTTGTTCTCCCATCAGCAAAGGCTCCATCTACTACGAGAAGCGGATGGACTGTTATAAAAGAAAATGCACTATTTAGCATAAGCAGAATGGATGGATCAGGCCCAATGGGTCAAACATATTTATCTTTCGAATCCAACTTCTTGTCAAATGATTTACTGCCTCGTTCTATGGGATATGAAACAATTATTCTACTTGTGGCGCTTAGACAAATGATACTCCCAAACTGACAAGATTCGTCTGCTGGCATTTATAAATCTAAGACTGCAGCTGTTGGACTTGATCTAGCTGTCTCTTGTGGACACGGGGTCTAGGAAGGAAATACCAGGGAATCCCCCCTACAAGAGCATCTCTGTTCCTTGAGAGACCGCTTCTTGTATAAAAGGAAATACATGCCAAAGACAATTAACCTCTTCCAAATGAAGACCGTCTCCCCATACAGGAAGTATTAAGTAATGGCCTGCTATCTATCAAACCACATCATATGAGGTTAGATCAGTAATTGGCAACCTCTGGCATTAGGGCTCTTTTGGTCCCCAGTATGTACCTTATTTTTTCACTTAATTTTAAACCCAAATCAGCAAAATCAGCCTTCAGCCACTGTTAATCATAACATACCTAGTTCACTTATTCTTTTCCATTCCAACCCAAACAAAAAACAAACTTACAGAAAAGGAAACCATAATTCCAGCTCCGTCTCCTCTGTTAAATTCACTGAGTCTGCAGATACTCAATTCTAAAGAAGGAAAGTGCACCATTTGTTTGGGGTTAAAAATCCCTCTTCTAGGGATAAGCAGGCCTTTCATTTGAACTTCTGAGAAAACTGGAGAACAGAGAGAAAGAAGAAGAGAGAAGAGAAAGGAAAATAACTATTTCAGAACCATACATTGAAATTAAGCACTGTATGCTAGCTTGTTGGGTATCTCTGATCGAGAGATTCTTGTTTCAATAGAATAGCAAAAATATATTTGGGATAAAACTGGGTTTGATGCCACTTGTGAAATACATGTGGAAGTATATCCAAACTGAAGGCTGATCTGCATTTTTTGCTTCCCTCAGCACAAGGACAGGCCATCTAACTATTCCAGGAGGGTATATTGGATGATGTTGTTATCATCCTTCCCCTATGTTGCTGGAAATGCATGCTCTAACAATGTTTTCTTGCTCTGCACCAGTGATATATGTGTTTATTATGTAGGTATACACTTTTGAGAGCAAGAAACAGAATTTCATTTTAATGTGTGCCAGTGTACACATGTAAAAAATGACAATAAAGGTTATTTATACTGGACTGCCTTCCCTGAAAGGCTGCCCCTTCCTTCCTTCCTTCCTTCCTTCCTTCCTTCCTTCCTTCCTTCCTTCCTTCCTTCCTTTCCCTCTCCCCCCCTCTCTCTCTTTCTTTCTTTCTTTCTTTTTCTTTCTTTCTTTCTTTCTTTTCAACAATGGAGACAGAAAACATATGTCCACCAGTAGGAAAGCAGTTGCTTTTTTTATTTTATTTGCATGAGCGGGAGGAAAATTAAGTAAATTGATCCATCAATCTGAGTCACATTAACCATGGTGTGGACAGTACATGAGACCACCACTTTAGTCAAAGCACAGGAAGAAGCTAAAATCCAGAAAGGAATTTGTCAAACTGGCTTCATTTCTAGCCAGATTATGTATGAGTGTCCAGCTGTTGAAGCAGCAGCCCTAAATCTGATACAGATTTTTTTGTCAGGCAATAAGGGGTGATCGGCTGAAGTATAATCTGATGTGGCAAGAACAGCCCTTAATTTATTGACTTTATTAGCATCGATCTTGAAAGAACTTCCTGACTCAAAGGCTGCAGATAAAAATGGATATTAAGGATTACTGGATATATTGTATAATATATATATTAGAGAAGTGTGTTAGCAAACTTAGATGCTGAAGAAAATTACTTGTAATTGCAGATTTACTTACAACTTTAAAAATAGAATTCACTGAAAATTGGCAAACTTACCAAAGGTTTGAAAGCATCAAGTGCTTCAAGGCTGACGAAAAAAACAAAAAACGTGGATTTGGGGAAAAAATTGATTGCTAATATGGCAATTTAGCAAAATCTTGAAAGCCTGCCAAAGTAGTTCTCCAGATCAATTTATACTAATGCAATTAAGAATTACTCCCTTCTCCATGTTCCCAGCATTTGTTAAATATTCCATCATAAGAAGTATGGTGTATTGGCCCAGATTTAGATTGATGCGTTTTAAGCCTATACAGTACATGGCCACTTAGATTTGAAGAATGTTTTTCACTAGTGCATAGTCTTGTAGGACAGCTGCGGTGGCTGGACAATGCTTCTGTAAAGCTGTGAATGCTGAAGAAGTGGATAGTTCTGGCAAGGAAGAGCAACGGAGGCATTTTGCTTCAGTATTAGAAGTGAGGGATACATGTTATTCCACAAAGCAGCTTCATGGAGGAGCTTTCTTTAACTCTTCCTCCAAAATCTGTACCAATGTTTCTCAATTTCAGTGTGTTTAAGATGTGTGGACTTCAATTCCCAGAACCCCCCGGTCAGCATGAGTTGAAGTCAACATCTTAAACACATCAAGGTTCAGAAACAATAATCTATACAGGCCTAATTTACATATTTTAAATACTAGCTGTGCCCACTACTGGCATGTTGACTCTGATGAACTACGTTGAAGGAATATAGTCCTCAACAACAAGTTTCCTTAATCTTAGGGACATCTGAGGGGCACCTGATGGTTCAGAAAAGTCAGGATGACAGCTGTGACACCATTGAAGTCACAACTTTTTTTAATGTTTAAAGAGGGACTACCTTCAATCACATAATCATGGCTGTCATCTTCACTTTTTTGCGATTCCCTACTCCCACCTACACCAAAGAGACTCCCGCTTGGTCCTTGGTTGCATCTTTGTCCTAACCCTACACAAAGCAGCCTAACTGAGTGAGACCATTTCCTCTTTTTTTTTCCTCTGGTTATACTTAAGAATTATAAACTTACAGAAAATTATTTTAAACTCTTGCATTCTGTCTTAGTCTAATGGCTCCTTCTTATTTCTCTCTGATGAAATAATATAAAAAATATACATAGCAGAGCCATTGTAATAATTTCCAGTGGATTTTTTTTATTAAACTTCCATAAAAATTCAATTAAAAAGCAATGAGCTCCAAGAGTTTTCTTTCAAATATGCAGTAAACAAAATTATTCAATTTTTTATTTTTCTTCCTTTTTTTATTTTCTTACAAAGAATATTTCAGCATGAAAATAGTGTTGCTAATCTCAGGGGAGCAGTGTGTAATGTCTGCCAAAAGCAATTTTCTTTTTATTGTTATGCTGCCTTGAGCAACTTACTGTTTTCTGAGATGTTTCAAACTCTAGAAAGATCCCAAAGATCATGCACTGAGACCCCTGAAGCAAGATGTCATCCATCCTTGAAGTGTAACTTTCCTTATGAATAATTCCTTTGTACTACATAAAACCTGAGTTATAAATTCACCATAGATGCCAGCAAGAAAAGCAGAGCCTGTACAGTCCTTGTCTATTGAATATACATAAGACTCAAGATAGGCAAATTCTGCAGTCCTTAGCATTTTTCATGAGTTCCCCATAAATCTATTTGCCCCATTTCCACATAAAATGTTTTATCTAATTGTATATATCGCCACCGATGGAGAATTACATGTCTGGGATTGAAAGGGGCTTAGAATGGAGGATATATTGGCTATATTCAGAATCCAGCAGAAAGATGCATTGGGAAAACTTGTTTTTTCAATTTTTTTTTCCATAGCCCCTGGTCACATGGGGCTCATTTTCAAACTCAGTCTATCCTTTGCCAGTTTCTCCCTCCATACCTAATTTGGTCCAGTTCTGTTTAGTTATGGGCAAATTATTCTGTTGACAGCTGGAGTTTCAAGCCCCCTTACTATTCTATTTTATTCAGTTGGAAAGAGTAAATTCCTAGCAAGAATGACAAGTTTGAAAAGCATATCTGCTTTTAAATATCCATCTCATTCTAAAGCAAATCTTAGAAAAATCAGCTGCTATTAATTCTTCTTCCATTTTTTAAAAAAATAAATCCCTACCAGCAACAATTTCCTTGCTCAGGCAATTTTGCAGTTTTGTCGTATATTTTGACACAGTGCATTATTGTTTTCTATAAAAGGCAGCTTTCCTCTACTCAAAGCAGCTTCTGATCTTGAAAAACTGTTATGAAGTCCTTGAAACAGTTGTAAGGTTTATTCTTAGCATGAAAGTATTGCTTTTAGAATCTTATTCCCTCTATAAGAATCTGAAGCTGAAGAAGGAATTTTCTCACAAAAAGGAATGAATTATAAACCAGTGATAGGAATGAGGGGTGTTTATGAAATTTCCTGACTCTTTCCCAATGTTAGCCAAATTAAGTTCCCTTCACAGCCCTTGTAAAAGGAGAAGCTACTCTCTTTAATTTCCACAGATTCACCATCTCAAAGAGGAGCTGCCTTCGTGTTATTTCTGGAATATGGAAATATAGAAAACTAATAAAGATGATTTTCTAAGGTTGAGAAGAGTTCTCTTTCTCCTGAATGGGGTAAGAAAAACAGTAAAAACAAGCTACTAAGAATTTCTTCAATTAAAGCAATCCATAACCAAATAAGGTCCCATAAACTGTCAATTAAACAATCAGTGTGGAAATGAAAATAAAGTTCATGTAAAATTGTAGTTGGGCATGAAGAATGGTTGACAGAAATATAGTATCATATACTAGGACAAGGAAAAAGACTTTCATATGGTCAACATTTCTGGAATTATTCTATTTATAAATTAATTTTCTAGGCTTCCCTTTTTCCTTTTTCCCCTTATTATTATTAGGCTTATTAATTTTGAAGCTATATTATTCCACTAATATTCTTGTGTGCATTTATGCTTTTTGTTAATTAGTTCTCCATATTAGTTTAATATAATAAAATATATAAATGTAATATAATCCAATTAAAAAGGCAGGATCCTCTGCTTTTTTGTGCTTTTTTGTGCTCTGTAAGCTATGTTCACATTCAAAAACAAATACAGATTTCCTTTGTACTTTTGGTTGAAAGTTTGGTTGAGAGATGGAGAAGATAGAGATTAGGTTTAGCACTTGTTCATCTATTTTCAGGCTCTCAGAAATTCTGGTGAAGACTTGAGATGAGGTTGTTTCTAGTCTGCCCATCCTATTTCCTCTATTGTGGGCATAACTTCAAGCAGAACATGGATTATTTCAGAGGTTACTCTGGAATCCTCTGCTGCTACCCCTGTCTTTTCACCCTTTCCCTATTCTAGAAGGTAGAACATAAGTAGTTCCACCTTGTAACTCCAGAAAATATCTCACCTAACAAAATGTTCTCTCTTCTCCACAGGCCTGATCCCCATTTTAATTACCACATGCCACATAGAAAAATGCCTCAAACTGCACAAATGTGAGCCCCCTTTTGGTCTTGTACAGCAGTAAGTCTAAAGATTTTTCTTGAACTAATAGATAGATGCAGCCCAGTATACTAATGCATTTTCTCATTTTCTTTTCTCATCTCTTTGTTTCTCCAGCTTCTGCCTCCGGAAATTACTATTGCTCCTCCATCCCCTGTTTTGTAGTGATTATAAGTTAAAGCTTTATTAATATGAATGGAAGGCTTGCCAGAAACATTATACTTGAATTTAACCACCGTGCAACTGACGTCCATATGTATTTCCTTTTATGTGACCTTGATAGATGTGGCTGCCTTAATAAGGCTAAGATGAATGAACCAATAATTTTAGACAAGACGGCTGACATGCGAGACCCTTTGATTTACAGTGCTGTGGTAATAAATACCAATGGCATGTTTAGTTTTTTAAATTCCTAGATGGGTCCCAAGCTATTTTCTTGCTCAGGTTCCTGGCTCATATTCCACCAGGGTGTCAGCCATTCATTTTAAAATATGCAAGTATTGCACAACCAGATGGTAACTCCATAAAAAAATAATTTAGGTTTTTTTTAACCCCCTCTTGACATGCAGATCATAATGCATCAAATATCAAAATAGGTGATTAGAATTACCAAGTGTCCGAAAAACAAACTAATAATGGAGCAGAGGAACCATGGTGGATAAAAGGGAAACCAAGACTTAGGCAAAAGAACTATGTATCAAGAGTGAACCCAGCACTCTTGAATAAGTAAGATGAAGATTAAGTCTTGGGGGAGGGAGTTGACTTTGAAATAAATCAGGTAAAGACATAAGCACACACAAAGTGTATCTTGCATTGTCTGGTTACTCATTGTATCTAGCAATTTCATTGTATTGGTTTCCTTCCTGAATTATGGGAAGTTTCTCTCCCTTAATAAGGGGCAGAAGAGCTTAACTTCCCCACAGCCAACTGCTGCTTTCTAGTGAAAATTCTGAATAATAAAAGCAAATTCCTGCCTCACTATTCAATCTCAAGAGGAAATTTTTGTTTGCTCGGGGATTCAGCCAACTGGCCATTTTTCTTGAGGTAAAAGAGATCCCTTTACCAATCAGTTTGATCTAATTGGGATTTCTAGAAGCTTGCATTTCTGGAGAAATGATAGTCAAAACTGAGGAAAATTTGTGCTGTCAGAAACTGGCAATTTTGCCTTCAGATTTCAGCTAGGTAATCTGATTATGCTCTGAGCATCAAAATAGGAATAGGATAGGAAGTTTTGAATATGAGCCACGTCGCCTAAGCCTGACTAACAGTATGTCAGGAAAAAAGGATAAGGTGTTTTCCCCAAATCCATTTCCTTTCCTTCTGCTGTTCTCTCTATATCTAATTATAGGCTGTATATTTAGAACCTCTGATGTTGCATCCCATAAAGCACCACACATATGAATCAGTGGTGGGTTGCCCCCAGTTCACACCAGTTCTATAGAACCGGTAGTAAAACTGGTGGGAGGCTCCGCCCACCGACCCCACCATCATCAAAATGCTTCTGCGCATGCGCAGAAGAGAGAGAGAGCACATGAGCACAGCTGCCCCACTGCAAACCAGTAGTAAATGTAAGTAGAACCCACTCCTGATATGAATGGTATTATTTATTTATTTTTAATTGTCTAGTGTTAATTATGTTCCAGGTTTACTGCTTTAGGACTAATTCTAAATGTAGTTGAGGCCAGAACAAAGAAAGGATGGGCAGGTAATTTATAGATGTATTGTAATGTTAAGAGTATTAATGTATTTGCAATCCATTTAATGTTATTTAATAAAACATAACTTAGTTCATTGTTTAAATGTTAAATGTGCTGCTTGATATCTACCCCATGTTCCAGTTAATCATGTTACCTCATATACCTAGGATAAAAATAGAGGAAAACCAAAAAAAAAAGACATTTCCAAATCAGAAAGGTTTGATGGTAGCAATAAAACCAATAGATCCTTTAAAAACACTACTGGGTTAATTTAGAAGGAAGGAAGGAAGGAAGGAAGGAAGGAAGGAAGGAAGGAAGGAAGGAAGGAAGGAAGGAAGGAAGGAAATGACACCAAAAAAAGAAGAGCACGCAATAAATAGCAAGAAAAAGAAGTGGGAAAGGGAAGAGACAATTAAATTGGCATTAGCGCAATTTAAATGTAATTAAAAGTACACTTGATAATTGTACAGCTTAGAAATGTAATTCTTGTAAATGGTATTTAATTATGAAATGTAGCTTACATAAAATAAGGGCTACATAAAGGCCATGACTAACATTATGTACTGCTTTGCTAAGGAGATCTCAGCCTTTGGATAATCCTAGTTAGACAGGATTTACGTTACTGGATTAGATAGATTAGCACTCTTGCTCAGTATAAAGCAGCATCACGCATCTGGGATTAAATAGCATTCAGTTAGTATGGTTTACTTCTGTGTAAATAATTTCTTTTTTTCCCCTAAATTTGATGGGAGATTGGGATTTCTCCTTTCTTACAAATCATTCTCAGTAAAGTGTGTTAAAGATTCATGCTACTGATCTGCTATGTTTCCTGTCTCTAACTGACAATAAAGTGTTGGTGCTGACAATTCATGTTTACGATGCTGTACCAGAACAATGGCATGATTCAATATAAAACATCCAATAGAAAAGAAAATTTGTAGCTTCAGCTCGGTACCCTACAATATAAAATATCTTCTTATGTTCTGTGGATTCTTATGTTCCTTATACAAAAGGAAGAAGAAAGTTCTATTTATTTTATTTTATTTATTTATTTAGAGAATTTATATAGCCGCCCACTCACTCTCAGTGACTTTGGGTGGCTTATAAAATTTTCCCACTTCTTCCTTTTGAGTTATTTTTCATTGGAGTAAGCTCAATTGTTTAACAAAGTCATTAATATTCTAGTGACTTAGAGTATTAATGTTTTCTAGAATCCTCCAACCATCACTGAGATGATACAAAGTCTGTCTGCTTTATCAGCAAGATAACTGGATGGTTCCAGAAGATTCTGTAGGTCTTTATCAAGTATCCTGATTATGATACGTTAAGATCATTCCTAATTGCTGGAATCCCTTACATCTGAATTGTGGTCTAAGCGTTCAGACAAATGCCTGAAAATTTTCCTGAAGCTGTAAATCTTTTCTTCCTTTTAATTAGAAAAAGCATTGCCATTTTAGACTCTACAATCTGCAGCATTCCTAGCCTTATGGTTGATACTTGTTGCTTAGAAGTGCTGTTTCAGCCATTCTCCATAATCATCATTGCTGTGAAATAGCAACCTCCATAAGAATTTCATGCAAGTATATTAGACTTATTATAACAGTCATCCTATTTTAATAGCAATTAACTCATAATGGGAAAGGATATTAAATTTGAAGCAGTAAGGCTATAAACCCTGATGCATAATAGGAATCACATCAGTTTAAGTGTTGGTTGAATTTGAATTTCCCACATTTGTAAACAGAATGAACAAGCTTTTGTTGGCTAAAATAGCCATTCAGTTCTGAAAGAGCACTTCTGCTTCCACACTAATTATTTTTTCTTTTTCATAAAAGCATTGACTATGCCTTTATATACCACTTTAATGTCTCCAAATATTTCATCTTTTTAACAATCCTGTAAGATAAACCAGTTTATTATTTTGACCTTGCAGATGGCAGAGACTGAATGAGTTGTGAACAAAGAATTTCAATGCTCACAGCTTACTTCTTTAGTATAAGGTGGGTAGAAGAATCTTAATCAGAGTCTCCAGGAGTCAATTCTAAGGCCTCTTGTGCTTCCAACATTTTAATTCCTGTCAAAGATTAAACAGACTTGGTTATGTGGCAGGGATGAAAAACTGCTAATGTTTTCCAGCTGCTGTTGGACATATATCAGCATTTGGTCATGCTAGCTAAGGTTCATGCAAACAATCCTATGAATTGTCATAGCTTCCCCTCAACTGAGATGCTACCAATTCCTTCCTTCCTTCCTTCCTTCCTTCCTTCCTTCCTTCCTTCCTTCCTTTCTTTCTTTCTTTCTTTCTTTTCCTTTCTTTCTTTCTTTTTCTTTTTCTGCCTATCTTACTTTACAAAGAAACTCTGAATAGCTTACAGTTGAATGAATAAGTATTAAAATATTAATAAGATTAGGTACCAAACTATAAAAGCAAAAGCAAAAGCAAAAACAGTATAGTGGTGGCATCTTCCCTATCAGTCCACCAGCCACCTCCTTTGGCATCATTACTTCTGGATCTTCTCTTCTTTGTTCATATGCACTTCTTTGGTGTTCAGTTTCAGCCACCTTGGGGTCTTTGACAAAACTGGCATGTAGCCATTAATATGTTTATAAGTGATCCCAACTAAAACTGGATCCAGGAGTACCTTAATGTTTCTCCAAAATAGGGGTAAACAGTCCACCCAATCATGAGGTTTAAGCAGCCTTCAGCTTCATTTTCTGCTGAAATTTAGTGGCAAATTGCCAATTTTTAGAATCTAGATCAGGCATGTCCAACTCATGGCCTGTAGGCCACATGCAGCCCTGGACAAAGGAAGTTTGATCTTATTTGTTTGTTTACAAAATGTATTGGCCATTCATCTTACCTCAGGATCAGTGGTGAAATGTAAAATTTGTTACTACCGGTTCTGTGGGTGTGGCTTGGTGGGGGAGTGTAATGGGACTGTGTGGGTGTGGCTAACTTTTTTTTTTTTTACTTTTAAAAGCATTTTTCTACAACCTTAAGAGGTTGGAGAAAAAAAATGCTTTTAAAAGCCTCTGACGATTCCAGCTGAGTCGCGCGATCATCAGAGGCTTTTTTTTTTACTTTTAAAAGCATTTTTTCAGCCAAAGAGGTTGTAGAAAAAATGCTTTTAAAAATAAAATAAAAAAAGCCTCTGATGATCACGTGGCTCAGCTGGGTATGGGGGGGCAGAGATTTTTGCTACCAGTTCTCCGAACCACCCGCCGCCATCGCTACCGGATTGGGCAATCCAGTCCGAACCGGGAGCATTTCACCCCTGCTCAGGGTAACTCTGGGCATTATATACATTATATAAATGTCCCACTTATGACTGCATGACTGTAACTTTGTTGCTTGTATCCTTACAATTTATATTGATAGTGTTTCCTAGTATGACTTGATTGCTTATTTGTACCCGTGACTATCATTAAGTGTTGTACCTTATGATTCTTGATGAATGTATCTTTTCTTGTATGTACACTGAGAGCGTATGCACCAAGACAAATTCCTTGTGTGTCCAATCACACTTGGCCAATAAAGAATTCTATTCTGTTCTTTCCTGTCCTGTCCTGTCCTGTCCTGTCCTGTCCTGTCCTGTCCTGTCCTATCCTATCCTATCCTATTCTATTCTATTCACTGTATTATATATTTTTATAAATGTATATATATATTTATATATGTAGGTCTTTGGTTATTCGGGTCTTCTCCCACGTAAAATTGGAAGTGTCTTGGCGACGTTTCGACGAAGTCTCATTCGTCATCTTCAGGCTGGTGTTCTCGGCTTCGTGCTTCCAGGAGCAAAATATTTATATATATTTATATATTTTATACATGACCCAAGTCATTCCCCCTTGATTCAATGTGGCCCAGGCAAGCCAAAAAGTTGGACACCTACCTCCTTCTCCTCCTTCTCTTTCTCTTCCTGGCAAAAAATAAATGCTAAAGTAGATGCTTTATGCCATATGTATGCCTAAAACATCAATGTTGCTTAGCTCCTCACTAATCTTGCACCAAGTCTACATATCCTTCAATACCTCTGAAGACTATTTTTTTTAAAGTGCAGGTCCTGGCTTCAAAAAAAAATAGCCATCTAAAGATTCAAAATGAGGCTTTTTGTTACATGCATTCTCTAAAGCTCTATTCTTTCCTTCTTGGCTCACCTCCCTGGTTTTATTCATAGTTTCCAATTTCATGATACTATTGTTTGCTGTTATATCTATATAAGCGCACCACAGTGTTACTAGTCTTACCAAACCAATATTACAATGTATAATTTTATTGTGGTTCATTTTCTTGGAATAGAGAACATATTCAATTTATATTTTAGTCACTTATGTATGACAAATATGGGTTGAGCTTACTTGCAAGTCATTCTTAACTCAGGCATGGAATGACAGGAGTTAAAGCACAGAAGTAATTTTAATTCTGGCTGCACCAAGAAACATTCTAGAAGGTCATCTGTGTGAAAATATGAAAATATGTCAAGACTGGATTATGTTGTTTTTTTTTTAAGAAAAGAAAAAAGTATAAAACATTCCCACACAAATAAAAATTGAGTGCAGCAAAGAGGAAACTATGGGAAATACAGTATTTATTGCTACAATGTTGTAATATTCTCACATCAATCAAATTAATATTGCCTTTTGATAGCATGACTATCTTATCATAAGTTCAATGTACAATGGCACTCTGTGATTAATTTAACATCCTATATGACTTTAGTAAAGAACAGATCAGTATGGATCAACCAAATACAGGCAGCTCTAAAGATTTTATGGGAATAGTTTTAAAATGAATTCTAAATCATCTTTATTGAAAATCATAACAAAACACATTCAGGCTTTGGAGAGGCATTTGGACTTCATATATGATTCTGATAACAATATGGTTATTTGTTAGTTTAAGAAATGCTGGAATCTTTCTTCCAAATAATGCTCTCTTTATTTATTTATTCATTTGCTTGCTTGCTATATTTCTTTCATTCCTTTTCAAGGCAACTTGAAAAATTCATAAATTAAATTCACAGTTTAATCCAGTTAGAAAGAAATATGCACTTAAATATCGCAGTGAAAATAGGGTAATGAAAATAATATACTGCATAAAACTAACACAAACTTTTTACTTGTTGTAAAAAAAGAAAACAGTCCAAAAAAAGAAGAAGAAAGAACCATGGTATTAAATAATTAACAATGCTTTTCCTAGTCTCCATTAAATTTCAGTACACAATGCATGATTGCCATAATGTCACAGAGAGTATAGAACTCTCTGACACAATATGATGCCTTCAAATTTAAATTGCTTTAAAGGCAAATGAATTCATCAGGGAACCATCAAATTTTTTAACATGCCGCCACATGTTTTGGAGGCATCAGGTTGGGAAATGTATTTGGTGACATTTATGGGAAAAGAAAAACTATAAGAAAATGGTTAGTTTTCTTTAACAGCAATAGCTCCACTCTGTAAAGGTTTTGCCATCTTATTTGCCATCAAATTTCTGTCAAGGAATGGGAGTTTAAGAATCATCTTAGCTGAGATTTTGAGCACTGCATCCTATGAGTGGTTACTCTGATGGAATAAAAGGGTCCATCCTTTACTTCCTCCTTTTATCATTTCCCACATCTAGGTAATTTCTGCTCCTGTCATCCAATACTAATGGGAGGGCAGAGGTTGGTGACTATGAACAGAAGCTAAGTTGTCCATTAGAGCAACTTGTCTGTTAGGATATGTCAATCAGGGGGAAAAGGGCAAGGAACCTCCTGACTTCAACACATGCCTCATTTACTCTTCTTCAAAACAGAGACGCTGGACCTAATGATCACCCAGGCAAAAATTTTTCCTAGGTTCAGCTCCTCATCTCTTGGACTGAGAGATGCTGCTTGATTGATGGGGTGGGGAAAATGTCTTTGTGTATCCAACAGTGCTTAATTCCTGAAGGATTTTAATGTATTTGGAAAGAACAACCATTGATGTGAATTCATAAAGCTGATTGAAAAACTAAAAGCAGTGATTAGTTGTTTTTGAGGGTCCCCTTACCAGGGTAAGGGGGATGCGCATCCCCCCTTCCTTTTAATTGGCATCAGATATGTTCTTCTATTGCTTTTTTATTTTTTTATTTTTGCTTTCTTTCTGTTTTTAATGCTATGTTAAAAGGATGCTACCCAGAGTTGCATGGCCAAATCAATAAATAATGAAATAAATGTTGTCTTGAAAGGTAAGTGATTTCCTTTCAGGTCAACAAAGCCTAACAGAGTGTTCTTGAATAATGGTAGAAAAAGTGGGGAATGACTAATTTACAGATAATTGTACAGCTTAGCTTGTCCTAGTCATGGTCACACATGAGATGATAGAGAGAAAGTCATTTGACAGATCATGTTGGTGCCAGGGTTTAGGCAAGAGGTGAAGGGCCCATAGACTTGAAAATATGTCAAGCCCTACAAACAGAAAATGTTTTTTGAGAATTTCTACCTCCCCATTCTCTCTACCTCAAAAGTCACCAATCCAGATCAATATTTTAAATCAGGCCCAGTAGAATTAAATGGAAGAAGTTATTAGAATTTTTAGGAGATGGGGAAAAAAATTGAAAATCTCAACAGGAGGTTCATTTTTGCCCTTAATTTATCGTTTGTCTTTTTTGGAGAGGGACTCTAAACTCTAGAAAGAGTGCAGAGAAGAGTAACAAAAATGATTAGGGGACTGGAAGCTAAACTGTTCATCAACATATGATGAACAGTTGCAGGAACTGGGTATGCCTGACCTACTGAAGAGAAGGATTAGGGGTGACATAATAGCATTCTTCCAATATTTGAAAGGCTGTCACAAAGAAGAGGCAGGCAACCTATTCTCCAAAGCACCAGAGAGAAAAACAAAAAGTAATAGAGGCAAAAATATCAAAGGGAAATACAAGCTAGAAGGAGAAATTTCCTGACAGTGAGAACAATTAACCAGTGGAATGGGTTGCCTTCAGAAGTTGCGGGTGCTCCAACAATGGAGTTTTTAAGAAGAGATTGGACAGCCATTTGGGCCAATGTCTTCTGCTTTGGCAGAAGGTTGGACTAGAAGATCTCCAAGGTCACTTCAAACTCTTGTTATTTTATATTCTGACAGTTTTGTCTTATGCTTTCTGGAATGTGGTCTTTCTTTAGAAAGATTTGCTTATTTTTAACATCCATCTTTGATTTTTGGGATAATCTTGCCTTTTTTTGCTTTGATCTTTGGGACTGGGATAAATTCCAATATGCTTATTTTCCTGGTTTCCTAAGTTTTCTCCCTCATCATTTTTATTTTAAGGCATTTTGTTGCCCTTTTGTTGCTTAGCAGCACTAAGTTCTATTTTTGCACTTCAGTTTCTGCATTCTATCATGAATTATTTTCTCTGTCAGGACCTTTCTGAAGAACTTTGGATTCATCCCAATTTTCATCTGAATCCTCAGGATCCTACAGTCTGCTGCTGTGGAAAGCTTTGCTTCCCTTTGTTTAACATCTGATATACTTTAGCTGGGAAAGTTATAAAGAGTTACTGTTACAGAGCTGGATTGCAGGAAGTCTAGATGAAGTTAAAAATCAAATGATTGCTGGCATAATTGCATAGGCTGTTTGAATATTATATTAGTAGGCTGTTTCTAGCCAAAGTGATTGTTTTATTTATGTAATTCTTTCAAAGTGGTTTGGGAATCTCATTTTCAGAAGAAACAAAGAGAGGGAAAGACCACAGACTTCTTGATGGTGCCTGATTGACAAGGTAGGTATTGAACTGCCAGCTGAGAAACAGTAAAATTTCAGAGCCATCTGGGACTGGTAAGATCTGAGAGTGATTCGGTGGAATCAAAGGATAAATTCAGAAAACTCTACTCTGGAATTTGGAAAGAAAGAAATTTGGCATACAGTTGAATCTGTAGGGAATCTAGAACTAGGGTAGAAGGCAATTGAAATTAGGAATAGCAGTGGGAATATGCTATGATTTGGGGTAGAGAAAACATGTTTGGAGGTGGGTGGAAAGAAATGTGGTCTGTTCCTAAAAGAAAAGAATATATAAATTCAAAAAAATATATTTTTGTGTTAGGACCCACTATAGCTTTGAATTCTGGTGCAAATTATTTGTCCTTTAGCTTATTGATTTACTCATTTGTGGAATGGGCATTCTATAAGGGACCTCACCCACTACAGCCGCTATTCTGTACATGAGTATCCCATCCCTGTGACATCTGTGTTCTGACAGTTCCCATAACATTTTCTTCTGTTGCCACTGCCTCCGAAAGTCTGGCTCTTTCTATTAATAACATTCACCCAAACAAATTCCAAATTGTTCATTAAAGGCTTCATATCAACAAATTGTGAAGTAGGACTCTTTAGGAAGACTCCTCAAATTTCTGAAATATTTGTTACTTGGTGGTTTCTGCTTGGGATGTCTACAGTTTGATGTTCTGAACATCAAGCCAACCTAACATCAAGCCATGTATCCCCACATTATAGTGAACTAAGTCTACGCACAGCTCACAGGCTGCCTGCCATGTCCTATTTATTTTTTGCAAAATACATGGGCCAATAGCCACAGGGCTTCTGATAAAGTCAGTAGGTGTGACTCTCCCAGGAACATGGTAAAGAAGCTGGGTTGCACCAATTACCTGCCAACCGTAGCTTAGACTACCAAAGGCTGTTGGTTATTTGCTAAATGAAATCTAATTATTTATTTAAAGAATGCAGTTTTATTTACAAGTCACAGTGTCCAAATGTTTGCTAGGCAATTTAAGACAGATGCAGGGATTCCTAATAAATCTCTTTAATTGTCCTCTCTTGCTTATCATCCATTATGAAAAGAAAGAGAAATGAGAAAAAGTGGTGCATTTTGTGTTGAGAGCCCAACCTGTATTCTGATTGTTCCAATTATCCAGTGGTGGACCTGCTTTAAATCATCCATTACAGAAATATTATTCAAAAGGCAGAGTAAGTTCATTTCGGTAAATAGAGTGCTTTATCAGATACCTACTGAAGCTCATATTTGGGACTGGCCAATGATCTTTTATAATGGTGCCTCTTATCCCAAATCAAGATATACAATATCCAAAACTGATAAAGTTATTTTACTTACTTAAAAAAAATGTTCTTTCTAAGAATAAAAAATACAATAAAAATGCATTAAAGAGTCACCACTTGTTGTGCTTAATGGCAGATTTAGATGGTTTTGGCCACCCTGCCATGCTGCCTAATGTGAGGGGAAGCTCTGAAAAGAGCTCCAGGGCTCTGGAACAGATCCTGGATTGCTGCTTCTCCAGCTTGCTCTTGCTGTTGGTTTGCAAGGCAATGTAAGAAGGAACAGCTTCTGCCTTATTCTAACATAAAGCTTGTTTTGGGCATCCCAAAAGAAGCAGTAGTAATAATGAGGAAGAAGAAAAAAAGTGACATCAGGGAGTCTGGGAGTCTCTTAAAGGCAAGTCCTATCCTAAACGCTTTGGGAAATCCCTACCATTCTGGATCTTTATTATTTTTTTTCCCTGGTTTACATTTTCTGAATAACAATGCAATTGGGTCATTGACTTCAATGTTCTCCTAGTGCATGAGGTTTGGGATCCTTTGAGAGCTCAAGTATTGTACAACTATGAAGATTAGATTAGAGATTTATTTATTTATCAATTTATTTATCAAATTTTTATACCGCCCTTCTCCCAAAGGGACTCAGGACGGTGTACAGCCAAGATAAAAAGCAACAATATAAAAGTTAAAAACAATTTAAAATTATTACATAGTTTGGCCAATCATCTAAAACACAATACCCCATTAAAATAATATTTTAGGCCAGCCCTGCTTGATGGAATAATAGTGTTTTAAGGGCGCGGTGGAAGGTACAGAGGTCGGAAATCTGATGAATCTCCGGGGGCAGCTCATTCCAGAGGGCAGGTACTCCCACAGAGAAGGCTCTCCCCCTGGGGGTCACCAATCAACACTGTCTAACCGACAGCACCCTGAGGAGACCCTCTCTGTGGGAGCATACTGGTTGGTGGGAGGCTATTGGAGGCAGAAGGCGATCTCGTAAATATCCAGGTCCTATGCCATGGAGCACTTAAAAGGTAGCAACCAACACCTTGAATCGCACCCGGAAGACCACTGGGAGCCAGTGCAGCTCACGCAGGAGCGGTGTTACATGGGAGCACCGAGTTGCCCCCATAATCACCCGCGTGGCCGCATTCTGGACCAGCTGGAGCCTCCAGGTGCTCTTCAGGGGGAGCCCCATGTAGAGAGCATTACAGTAGTCCAGACGGGAAGTGATGAGGGCGTGAGTGACTGTGCACAAGGCGTCCCGGTCCAGAAAGGGGCACAACTGGTGGATCAGGTGATAGAAAGCCCCCATGGCCACAGCCGTCAGATGGTCTTCTAAAGACAGCTGAGAGTCCAGGAGGACACCCAAGTTGTGAACCCACTCTCAGGGGGTCAAAGTCTCACCTCTTATAGTCAGTGATGGAACCAACTGACTATGACAGGACGCCGGAAACCACAGCCACTCGGTCTTGGAGGGGTTGAGCCTGAGCTTGTTTCTCCCCAACCAGATCCATACGGCCTCCAGGCACTGAGTCATCACTTCAAGGGCATCATTGGGGTGGCCCCGGGTGGAAATGTACAGCTGAGTGTCATCAGCATACTGATGGAAATCCACCCCGAAGCCACGGATGATCTCACCCAGCAGCTTCACATAAATGTTGAACAGGGGAGGCGAGAGGACCGACCCCTGCGGCACCCCACAAACTAGGCGCCTCGGGGTTGACCTCTGCCCCCCTGTCAACACAGACTGCTTACAGTCAGAAAGGAAGGAGGAGAACCACTGTAACATGGTACCCACCCCTAACCCCTCCAACCGACGCATGGTCGATGGTATCAAAAGCCGCTGAAAGATCTAACAGGACCAGGACAGAGGAACGACCCCTGTCCTGAACCCTCCAGAGATCATCAACCAATGCGACCAATGCCGTTTCCGTGCTATACCAAGGCCTGAAGCCCGACTGGAATGGATCTAGATAGTCCACTTCATCCAGGTACTGGGGAAGCTGTCGCTCCACCACACTCTCCACAACCTTCGCCACAAAGCGAAGGTTGGAGACTGGACGATAGTTTGATAAAACAGCCAGATCCAGAGAAGGCTTCTTGAGGAGGGGCCTCACCACCGCCTCTTTCAAGGTGGTGGGAAAGAGACCCTCACTCAGAGAAGCGTTGACAATCCCCTGGAGCCAGCCTCGTGTCACCTCCCAGGAAGTCAGCACCAACCAGGAGGGGCACGGGTCCAATAAACATGTGGCCACATTCAACCTACCCAGAACCCTGTCCACGTCCTTGGGAGTCACAAGGTCAAACTCCTCCCAGCTAACATTCTCAAGACCCACCTCCATCATCCCATCCAGCTCTACCCAGTCAGAGTCCAGACCCTCCTGAATCTGAGTGATTTTGTCATACCGATATTGCACAAAATCCTCAGACCTGCCCTGCAAAGGGTCTTCCCGCGCTCCCAGGTGGAGGAGGGAGCGGGTCACCCTAAACAGGGCAGCCAGGCGATTATCTGATAATGCAATAAGAGTGGAAAAATAATTACATTTTGCCACTTTTATCGCCCCTAGGTAGGTCTTAATATAGGACCTTACCAGTGTTCGGTCGGATTCGGAATGGCTGGCCCTCCAACTGCTCTCCAGGCATCTTTTCGGGCACTTCATCTCTCTCAGCTCCTCAGAGAACCAAGGAGCCAATTGAGAATGGCGCTGGGTCAGAGGCTGCAAAGGCATGACGTGATCTAAAGCCCCAGTGGCTGCCCTCTCCCAGGCCGCCACTAGTTCTTCAGTCGAACCGTGACCCAGAGCCTCAGGGAATGGCCCAAGCTCCATCAGGAACCTATCCGGGTCCATCAGGTGCCTGGGACGGAACCATCTAACTGGTTCCGTCTCCCTGCGATGAGGGTTAGCAGTTTGAAAGTCCAGTTGGAGGAGTGAATGATCAGACCATGACAAGGGCTCAGTGACTAAGTCCCCTATTTCTAGATCATTCTGCCACTGACCAGAGACAAAAATCAGATCCAGAGTGTGTCCCCCCGTGTGTGGGGGGCCATGAACTAACTGGGTCAGGTCCAAGGCCGTCATGGAAGCCATGAACTCCTGAGCCGCCATAGACGTTTCACCAACCGATGGCAGGTTGAAATGCCCCATGACCATAAGCCTGGGGGTATCAACCGCCACCCCGGCTATCACGTCAGGCAGCTCGGGTAGGGCCTCTGTTGCGTAGCAGGGAGCCAGTTAGAAAAAGGCATGGGCTCAGAGTTGCTGCCCTTTTCCTGTTTATTTCATTTTTAATGCCTTCTTTCATAGACTGACAAGTACAGGCAACACCCATGCAGTACTGAGCCAGTTCATAAAACAATGACCACCCTCCACATCAACACCTTTTCTTCTGCCAAATGTTCTCCATCTTTCTTAATACATAGATTTCAGTCTTGACTTTCCTGCCAGATGCATCTGGCATTTCTGCCTTGGCCTCTCATTACACATTAACCAATGGATATTGTTAATGGCAAGCTGCAAAGCAGGAGATCCAATTGTTGGTAGGGACCATTACTAACTACAAATGTGTAGGCCCTTTGGGTATCTTAAATCCTCCTCTTCTGCTAAATTCTTTGCAGACATAAAACAAACTGCAATGTTTTTTGTTTTGTTTTGTTTTCCAAATCTATTTTTGGGGCTTTCACATTACAGACTTGATCAAATAAAAGCTTTGGATTATGCATCTTTTTTAGCTTCTGCTGATTCTCCGGTAATAAAACTACTCAGCTGTAAGAGGGGGCGGGAGTTGCCAGGAAAACCGCACAGCTAAACATTCAATCCTTTGCAGAATTTGCTCCCATCAATAAATGTTTTAACTGCTTTCGGATTCCATTATGGGCCACATAGAACTTTATCTCACATCAGTTAAAGAAGCAGCCCAAACAGAAGTCCTGCTTAGCCTTGCTGAAGCTTTGCTTTTCACTCTTGAAACAATTCAAGTCCCTTCATTTAATTTCAATAGAAACGTTAAGTGTTCCAGCCTTAGTCCTACTGCAGTTGAACTGCTCATCTCTGGATCTTATTTCCAGGTCTCAGGAGGATTGGGTTTGATAACCTCATCTGATTACAACATCTTTGACAGCTTTAAAGGAATTTGCAGACAGAGAAGGAGAACAGCTGCTACTTTTTTGAAGGATTTGCTAAGCATGCCTCCCAACTTAGATGCCCAGACTTGAGACTTCAGAGTATGTTTTTAGCACATCATGGAGCAGGTATGTGTCTGATCCAATGTTGAGTTCTGATCTGAAACAGTATTTTTCTTTGCAAATTTGTCTTTGGTAAAGTACTTATTGTCATACTTAGAGTTTTAAGAGTGGGGAGAGAAGCAGATATGAAAAGAGGAATCGACTGAACTACAATTGGGAAAACATGGACAGACTAAATGGTAAAAACCACATAATAAAACAAAATCTAAACAACACAATCCAAAGAGTAACATAGGAATGTTGGGAGGAAAAAAAAACATCCAATAAGTTCATACCATTCCTATATCCAGTGCCTGGGGAATGTTATGAATCTTCTTTCAATAGAGTTGTGTATTCCCAATTATTTAAAACCCTGAGAGGTTCTTAGCAGCAGAGGTCAAAGCCAGTGCATATTAATGCATGTATATTCAATGGATACTCTTAATATTTAAGAGAACAGAAATATTAAAATTGTATTGGGAGGGAAGTAGCAATCAAGATCAATGAACATACAGAGAACCCCAAGGAGACTTTTCAGTAAACTTTAAAGACTTGCAATACCAGTTGAGAAGATATTAAATATTTTCTAATACTGAAAATCATCTAAAGGATATGGTATAGGAAAGAAGGTTTTGTTAAACATTTTAGATATCGCAGTCCAAGTAATAGGTTAAAAATCTGCTGACCTTCCTCATATTGGAGATCCCAGGCATATTTTGACAATGCTCTTAGCAAGCATGGGGTTAGACTGCAAGACCTACAGAGCCCCTTCAATGCTCTTCTAAGAATAGTTTGGTTGCCTTTCTGGTACATCTAAAGCAGAGCCTCAGTTATGATTGATACAAGAGTGGCATTGAATCAAGAGTCTCATCATGAGTCATTTCTCATGGCTCTGAGTGTTTCCTACATAATGTCACAATTTTTCAGGGCCTTCACTGGCTGCTGAGATTGGGAGATCTTTGGGAAGATGTCTTTGTGGTGGGTTTGAATGATATTCCAGGAGTTGCATTTCAAAAAGCAATGGGACTAGAACAAAGACTAAGTTGGTTTGCAAACCAACAAAGACAAAAAGCAATGGGACTAGAACTAGACTAAGTTGATTTGCATTTATAATTAAGTGATACTAAAAATATGAATATATGGCCATGCATTTAATATATTTCTCTTCCTGATACGTGCAAAATTACCATTTGGTAATAATACTTAGACATTGTTTTTGGTTGCAGATAATTCTGATCTTTGGACCTTACACTGGGCATTTCTGTGATAGATAAAGATAATTTAATGCAAGACAATGCTATGTATATTGAGCCTTACCACATTTCCTTAATAATAGGAAATGTTTTCTGATAAGCTGGCAGATAAGAGAAATGTCTATATCGTATCTATAGATGTTCACATAAGTGTGAATCTATCACTATGAAGCTGTTTCTTCCTAGCCAAAACTTGTGCATATTCTACAAAGTGTATTACTATGAGACAAAGTGATTGTCCAATTTGCACCTGGCAAAAGGGGCTCCATTCCCCTTTGGAGATGGATCAGAGGCAGCACCTTATTTTTTTTACTTAATGGAATATTATACCAGGAATCTTGAACAGGGGATCAGTTGGCACCTAGGAAGCCAAAAGAACTCTGGAAGGATCCTTCCTTATTTATTCATTATTTGTTTCTTCTGTGAGCCTTGATATGCAAGCTTCCAGTTACATCGGCATACTTTGCTGCCTGCTCTTACATGGTTTTGTTTTCAGATTGTACAAGATAAGGTTACTTCATTATTAATATATACATAAGTGCATGAACGTATACATATGTATGTGTGCATTCATACCTGTGTGTTTGCACCTACACGTATATAAATGTTGTATTGGGGCAGACACACACAACTCCTGGAAGTGCTAATAGTTAAGGTAAATGAAGTCCATTATTCCTGGGAACAACTATTCCTGTGACCTTATTTGCAATAAAACCAGATTCAATGATATGAGAAAATTGCTAGGTTTTGGACTAATCGAACCATGCTGTATGAACCCATACAAAGACATCATTTACAAAATACTTTGTTTGTCTCGAGTATTTATTCCTGCAGAAGGAATGTGGGGAGAACATAGAGTTCATATTATTTCTGCTGCTCTCCCGTGTGCACAAAAATGGGTTGGGGGAGTATCACAAAAGCTTTATTGTTAGACTTTTTACCGCTGGGAAGTATAAAAAGGAAATGGTACACTCCTTTGCCTTTTTGCAGAGTTATAATTCTTGGTGGTCTGCTATAATACCGCTACTCCATTACTACACTGTAAATGATTGCAGAATTTTTTGTGAAAGCAGAGTATCTGTGTTATTATATTTTAACAGCAGTTGCAACAGAGAAATCTTTCTGTTATAAGAGGAAGTGAGCTGGCTGCCTCAGGCAATGGATTTTTTTTTTCACACCAGACATTATTAACTGTGCAATTCCATACAGAATGAGGTGATGGCCCTCAACTCTGATGACTTGGAAGGGGGATGAGGCCAATTAAAAGAGAATAAAGCTACTGATGGCTGCTAGTCATGCGGCTATATGTTACCTCAAGTAGGACTGACAATATGTCACTCTGTTGGTTATTGTGGAGCCCAGGGAGGTGGATATTATTACTCATGTTCTGCTTATAGGATTCCCAGAGTGGGTTAGGTTTTATAGTGAATTAGGAACAGCTTGCAAATTAAATTAGTTGTGGTACAGGTCAGTATTAAGGCTGTGCAGCATTTCAGATTCAGAGAGGAAAAAATCTTCAGAGTGCATAAGGTTGAATGTAGCAACTGTTCACTATTCCTTAATCCAAAGGCATATTTTCCCAAGATTGTGTTGCAGATGTGAAGGGCAGCTAGGCAGTCCCAGTAAAAGATACTGCTTTAAGAATTACCAACAGGTGCCACATGAAGCCCTACATGGACGCCAATACATTCTTTCCTTCAGATCCCAAGTCCTGCCTGGCCCTACTCAATATTGGTCTTGGGGAAATGAGATTAGTGGATTTGATTCATGGATGCAGATCAAGCTGTTAATTTATGCTTTATGATAATAAAAGAGAATGCTCTGTATGTCTGCCCCATCTCTAGTGGAATGTATTGGGCTTGGTGTTTGGATCAGCATTCTTGTTTATGTATTTTCATCAAAGAATAGAGTCTTTGCACAATTTCCTTCAATTCAATTTATAGCTAAGTCCAGTGGTGGGATTCAGCCAGTTCGCACCACTTCGGGAGAACCGGTTGTTAACTTTCTGAGCAGTTTGGCAAACAGGTTGTTGGAAGAAAGCATTAGGGCAGAGAACCAGTTGTTAATATACTTGAATCCCACCACTGGCTAAGTCTTATTCATGTGTTGCAATAATGAGTTAGGGCACTAAATATGTCAGGGAATAGGGTGCTTCAAATTGGGACTGTCTCTATGTACACCAGATTTGCCTCTTTAGATCCCTTGCTATGTTGACCAATGAGGTCTCCACAGAAATTTTATTCATGTTTTCTTGAAGCTAAGTCAAATTCTACTCTGGCAAGGATTTTGCATTACCAAGGACCTAATCATGCAGAGCTTTTTATCCAAGTCCATATGAACACTGGTAGAAATCCTGCTCACTTCTTTCTGCTCAATCCAAATAAAGTAGGATTGCAACAGAATGGCCTGATCTATGGCAAGAAGCAAAGATAGAGGAAAGTGTATCCAGCCATTGATTTACTCAAACACTCAAAGGTTTTTTTCTACTGACCGCATGAATAAATTTTAGAGCTGATGTAAAATAAAAGGTTAGTAGCAGCAAAACCGCTAACTCTTCTTCAACTTTGTTTTTTCTGAAGAAAAAGTAAAAGGGTCTTTACTAAATGAGGGGTGATGTTGATCATGAGAGTAGCATCGATCAGTTTGCATTTCTTTATTTTATTTATTTACATTCACAGATGTATTGAAGGAGCTTCTTTTCCAAGGCTTTCAGAAGTTCTGCAAATGTCATTTTTTTGCAGCATAAATGTCTGCTTTCAGTTTCTCCAATGCACAAGAAAAAAAAGGTAAGAATTCTGGAATGCTTGTAGCAGATAGTCACAGATGGTAACTAAACCCACAAGGTCTATAATTATGCCACAATGATCCTGACTAGGTACTGGGTATGAAATGGAAAGCCATCTGGGCTAAAAAGATTAGGGACCAGAGGAAGATGTAATTTGCATTCTCTAGATCCATAAATTTGTCTGGTTTTACTAAAAATTTTACATTTAAGATAAACTACACACTTTCAGGTGACTTTTTCAGTGTAGACGCTTTGAGATTTTATTTCTTGATGGCAACATTCAGGGTTTCTTATAACAAAAGAAGGCTTGGATGTTTTGATGTGATTGGGTTTAGTACATAAAAGTAACCGACACAATCTACACACAAAATGGAGCCATTGTAAATAAGATTCAGAAAACGGAACAAACCTCTGGATACATGCATTTCTCCTTCTAACTCCCACACACAAACACAGACACTAAATGAATAGTGTTATCAGCCCAATGTAATAATTTGTCTGCAGTATTTTCCTTGAAGGACAAGATCTTTCTTGCACCATACAAATGCAATATTATTATTAGGAATGTAGAACTGGGAATGAATCACAGCACGATGTAATACCATACATGCAACCAGGAACCTTTTAAGAAAGAAAGTCCACTTAGGCAAAGGGTTTTGCAGCAATACAGAAACAATTCCAGAGCTGCTCCATTTCACAAGATCAACTGTTTTGGAGAACTACATTTTCTTCTGCTGGGGTTTGTATTTCTTTACTTGAAAGTTAAGCAAATGTTTTTATTTCTTTGCTAAATGCAATTCTACATTTTTTAATTTTTGCTTTAATATACATTTTGTCCATTATATCCTGTATGTTGATGTTAATGTAATTTAATGTGATGTTAAGTAATCAGGCTAGAAGCCAGGACATTGTGAGTTCTTCTTTTTGCCTTAGGCAAAAAGCCCAAAGTCTTAGGCCCAGTACTCTTCAATATCTTTATAAATGACTTAGATGAAGGAATAGAAGGGGAACTTACCAAATTTGCAGATGATACTAAGCTGGAAGGAATAGCTAACACCCTAGAAGATAGGCTCAAGATCCAGATGGATCTTGAGAGACTGGAACACTGGGCCCTGTCTAACAAAATGAAATTCTGTGTAGAGAAAAGAGTAAAGTCCTACACTTAGGCAAGAAAAACCAAAAGTACACATATAGACTGGGTGAAACCAGGCTTAATAGCAGTGACTGTGAGAGCCAGCAGTGTGCAGCAGCAGCCAAAAAAGCCAATGCAATCCTAAATTGCCTTAACAGAGGGATACAATCAAGATCAAATTAGGTACTAATACCACTCTATAAAGCCTTAGTAAGATGACACCTAGAGTACTGCATCCAGTTTTGGTCATCACACTATAAAAAAGATGTTGAGACTCTAGAAAAAGTGCAGAGAAGAGCAACCAGGATGATTAGGGGACTGGAAACTAAAACATATGAAGAATGGTTACAGGAACTGGGCGTGGCTAGTCTAGTCAAGAGAAGGACCAGGGGAGGCATGACAGCAGTGTTCCAATATTTGATGGGCTGCCACAGAAAGGAGGGGGTCAAGCTATTTTCCAAAGCACCTGAAGGCCAGACAAGGAATAATGGATGGAAACTGAACAAGGAGAGATTCAACCTAGATATGAGGAGGAACTTTCTGACAGTGAGAACAATCAACCAATGGAACAGCTTGCCTTCATAAGGTTCCTCACTTGAGACTTTCAAAAAAAGATTGGATTGCCATTTGTCAGATATGGTGTAGGGTCTCCTTCTTGAGTGGGAGGATTGACTAGATGACCTACAAGGTCCCTTCCAACTCTGTTAATCTGTTAAAAACCTTGGCCAGTCACTCTTTCTCAGTCCTAAGGAGGAGACAGTGGCAAACCATTTCTGAAAAACTTTGCCAAGAAAACTTCAGGGTCCTGTCCAAGCAGTCTCTAGATGTGAACTACATGTGACTAAACAGAGGCAAAATGTATTCTAGTATTTTTAAGAAGGAACTATATAATAAAATTAGGAGAAATTAGGAGAAAACATAGAATTCCTATATATTCTTCCAGAGCGTGAAAATCAGCTTAGTTTAAAACATGAATCAAACCATTTCTCAGTGGTTCCTTAAAAATATGCCCCATGAACTGTCAACTTCGAAATGGATCAGGCCTGTTACAGCCATTTTCTCCATTTCGCAGCTTGACACACTTTGGGGAGGGGGGAGGGAGCTCTGGAATGTCAAACCAAACATCAACACCTTAGTATCTTGTGGGAACCAAGGTCATCCCAACAGGTGCTGCCAGAGACTGGAAGTGGTTATCAAGGAGACCCCAGAACATCTAATTGAACAATGAGACCTATGACAAGGAGGGAGGGAGCTCTCTATTCTTTAATTATACTGAAAGTGCAGGAAATAGCCAGAGCTGGTTTTGCTTTCAAATGTGCCGATAAACCAGTCCTTTGAGAAAGCTGAAAGTCTCGGAGTGCTGAATTGGTTGAGTTCATTAGTCAGAACCTTGACATGAACATTAGAAGAGAAGTCTAGAATTACAAACACTTTTAAACATTTTTTTTCCCACCTGGTGTGCAGAGTCGCTATGGATTCCCTCACAGTTCAGTTCTTGTTGAGATTCTTAAAATGGAGGGGGGGATATTAATAAAGGCAACAATTTTCCCCTTCTCATATGGCAATTGAGGTAGCCTTCACTTACCAACCACAATTGGGGCTACTAAGCAACATGATCATAAAATGAAAGAACATGTGTTTAAACCTGACAATGACATCAATTCCAACTGTGGTTGTTAAGTGGTCACCACAGATTGTGAAGCAAGGAGTCACATGACTACAACTTCTGGCTTCCTTTCAGTTTCCCCACTAACTTGTCATGCCAAAAGCCAACTGTGAAGACCAGAAACGTGATTGAAAAGGTGCTGTGGCCAAGCACCCAAATCATGATCACATGACCCTGGGGACACTATGACTGCCTCAACTTTGAGGACTAGTCATAAGTGTCCTTTTTCAGGGCCATCATAACTTTGAATGATTGTCGAATGAATGGTTGGTAAGCAAGAACTACCTGTAAAAGGCATCATCTCTTCCCCATCTGAAGAAGAGTCCAAAACAAATAGCTTTAGAAAAGAAACTCTTCCAGGTGCCATTGACACAGCAGGAACCAATTTAAAAAACATGTTTCAGCAATCAGTGCTGAGTCATCTTAATTCCAGGTAGTAGAGCAGTACCTGGGATTAAGAATTAACTAGAGCAGGACTAGAGTATTGAAATCCTAGACTATGGTAAACCACATTGCCTCCCAACAAAAATTTCTAGAATAATTTTATTATAATATTGAAAGGAAATGCTAATGTTCTAATTCCACTTTATTATTAAAAGTGATCTAATTTGTATCATATCTGTGTAATATAATCATATTACATTAGCATGAGAAAGATGAATGAGCTGTCCACAACTAGGCTGATTTCTGAGGGCGTTAATCTATGTACAAAAACAAGCTAAAAGAAACTATTGTGCTATTGAGAACATTGGTGTTTGGCCCAAACTGAAAGAACATACTGTATTTCAGAGCATACGTGAGAATATTAACGTAGATGACTTGCATGGCTTGGTAGCTGAACAATCCCAAGGATATAAGATATAAGATGTTACCCATACTTAACTGTATGAAGATCCACATTTTGCCTTTTGAATCCAGATCTTTATGTAGCCCATATTAATATTAAATACATAGTATTTAATACTATTTGCTGTACATAGTACAGCAAATAATATTATGTACTTGGGTCCAGATAACTAACATCATTTCTGTATCAGCTACCCACTGTTAAATAGATATAAAGTTTATCTGCATTACTATTATTTTGGCACAACAATGATTGGATGACTCTTAAGGACCCTTTAAATCATTAGTGAAGAAGGGGTCTTGTGGATCTCAAGGAAAGATTTGTGGGCTTCTTTGGATGGCCCAATGAGGGAAGTAATGTCAAAGTTGTTTGCCATGTTTTTGTTCCAAGATATTTCTTTTTTAACTTCGTCATGTAGCCTACAGTCATGGGATTTCTGGTAGTCTGCCATCTATACACTAGTGAGCTGTAATCCTGTTTATCTGTTTGAAAAACAGCCAAGGTCAGCTGGATGCTACTGTCTGCTGTAGGCTTCATATTATCAAACATCCATTGCTTAATTCCAACTGAGATAACACAGCATTATGGACATTTTAACTGTTGGACATGTTATTTAAGAAGAAAGATTCAGTACAACCCTAATTGTACTAATCTCTTTTAGTGTTTCATGGATCAAATTTCCCTCCTCCATTTCTTCTGGAACTTGATTTCCACTCAAAGCTGATTCCAACTAATGGCCCACATTAAACACATCTTTATTATCTTTATTATCAACTAAGCTTCTTTGAATATTGCTTTCCTATTTAATAGGATTTATTTTCTTCAGTATGGGATACTGAGATATGGACGTTACCCTGTTTTCTAGTATGTTGTTTTCATCAACTAAAGCCTACATGGAGGATTCAGAGGTAATAATTATCTGGAATGATGGTAATTTATCCCACTTGAAATGATGTACTTGCACATATAATTACTGTAGACATCTCATTATGTCAAATTCTTAAGTGCTTCATATTGTTACTTCCTCCTAACTTGCTTTTTTAAAAAAAATAGAATTGCTAAATCATCTCCAAATCTTATCCCAGATTTCCTTCCTTTTCTTTCCTTCTAATACAATGGTGGAATTCAAAAAATTTTACTACCGTTTCTATGAGCATGACTTGGTGGGCGTGGCATAGCTTGGTGGGCATGGCATTGCTTGGTGGGTGTGGCAGGGGAAGGATACTGTAAAATCTCCATTTCCTCCCCACTCCGGGGGAAGGTTACTACTAAATCCCCATTTCCTCCTGATCAGCTGGGACTCAGGAGGCAGAGAATAGATTGGGGCGGGGCCAGTCGGAGGTGGTATTTACCGATTCTCCGAACTACTCAAAATTTCCGCTACTGGTTCTCCAGAACTGGTCAGAACCTGCTGAATACCACCTCTGTTCTAATACCAAGTAAGACATTTCTCAATTATCTCCCCATTTTATTTTCTTTATCCATTTATACTGGTAGTTGCTACCAATTGACTTGAATCTTCAGCAGCTTGCCAATCAACCCTTTCTTACAGTAGTACAAAGAGATTCAAAGAATCTTATAACCAAACTACATGTAACCAATTCTCACACCATCACATAAACTAACTGGACATTTATCTTATGCTCAAGTGTTTTCTTTTTTCTTTAGCCACGTTTTACCCAATGTCCTCCATCCATACTAAGGAAAAAATCTTCCATGAAACAAGCATTGAGAGAAAAGGAAAAAGTAGAGAGAAGAGTTCGATTCCGGGAACCAGGAGAAATGATTACAAATGGTACTGTATGTTTCAGGCTTTCTTAGTTATGATCTGTCATATTCAATCTTTTTGAAGCGTTCTAAAGTAGCTTTGAGTTATTTTTAAGATATCTTTATTGAATTGTGGCTGTATCCCTATGCAACCCCTGAAGTGACCCCTAAAGCGGAATACGAGACTCACTTTTCTAAGATCAAGAGAAGAAAATCTTATCTTTTGGGGGTTGCTCTTTGGTGTATAAGACTCATACTTTAGACTTAAAGCATAGTCAATTAATAACCATAGATCTCATTTACACATATTGTATGGATGTTGTTTTGTTTAAATATGTGCCTAACTCTGCCCTACATGCAAATGCTCCCAATTATTTGGTTATAAATAATCAAAAAGAAAAGGGCCTAGTGGCTGAGTACATTGTTTGCATCCAGAAAGACCCAAATCAGACAAAGAAATGTTTTGAGGGATCAGATTCCAAATATGAGAGGACTTCAAAAGGGCTCTTGAGAACCTGACGAGTTGCCATCATTCAAAAAGGATAACTAAGATTTATAAGAATAAGTGGTCTGAGCAGGTATCAGGAAGTTTGTAATATAGCTTCACATGAAGATTGATTGATGTTAGAATTTTCTGTGTGAGCTCTCTAGGTGACATACAGCATACACCAACTATCCCCCAATTTTTCTCACAACAAAATGCTGTTGTATGGATTGGGTTGAAAGAAAGTCATTCAGTGAGTTACGACTGAGACTGGAATTTAAGCTGGGTTTCACTGATCATAGCTCTACACATTAAACATTATGCCACTTTACTAAGAAAAACAAGTAGGAGCAGGTAAATCTTCCATGACACACTAAAATTACAAATAAATGAGTTTCCAAAAACTCCTCCATCGTTGTCTCAAGATTTAACCAAGTTTTTACAAACCCATCCATCCCCACAATGTTTCACAAGAACATTCAAAAAAACCTCTCAGATTATGTTTAATTTGTGTTTTTATTTCATAAGTACACTTTACTCCCAAATAAATGAATGGAAATCTTTGAGAAAGAATTTCAGGATAAAAATTGAGGCTGGAAGCTAAAATCAAATACAGAAAGACTACCTTTCGGTCCCAACACTGATTTTATCCTGCAAGTATAACTTTCTCATGCACTAATAGTGTTAGTGGGGCTCAGAGAAGTTTCATAAGTGTCTAAAGGGTGTTCCTTTACTCTTGATTTAAAAACTGCTTTTCACACTACCATAGTGCAATAATATGTAATAAAATGTTTTGGAAATGTCCCTATAAATTGTTAATGTCATCTATTAAATCAACTTCCAAGCAAGGTCAGGATTACAGTTACTCAGTGACTTCTATCTAGAAAGTATAATTTATCTTCCATTATTTCTTAAGCAACTGCTATTAGTAGTTTGAGAACAATACAAAAATGTGAAAGCCAGGATCCAATTTGAGAAGAGAGGAGATTTGAGATTTTATAAAATGAAGTGGGCACCTGAAGTCCTAAAATATCACAATTTCTTCAAGAAATACAAAAAAAGGCAATATTTTTTTGGGACAGACATCCTCAGAGGAACTGCAGAAAGGATGCTAAAAGATCTCAGCCCCAAATCCACTTTTTGCCTCCTCACCCCATTTTAGAAAATTGTTGAACAGCAGTATGATAAACTTAGATGTTAATTGTTCTGTCTGTTCACAATTCAACAATACTTCCTAAAATGCAGTTGCTACAATATCATGTATGCAGTAATATATACTAGCTGAACATGTTCATTAAATGCCTTATTATAGACTGAAGTACGTACAATGTACAAATAAAAAATGTATACAAAATTACACACAGAAAAGGTTCACAAATGCAGATATTTTTTAAAAAGAAAAATGCTACAAAAAGTGAAAGCATATCAAACCAAATTCAAAGTTGTAAACATGAAAAATTGAGTGAAAACAAAATATATGAATTGTTTGTCCCTACTTCTATTTAAAACAGTTACTATAAAGTTACATGAGCTATTATAAAGTTGCTATGATGACAAAGCCCACAATGAAAAATCATGTTTGGAATAGTGGTAAGAAATCCTCATTTTCTACTGCCAACTCACCCATTTATATCCTTTAGTGCAAATGGTCTCTGATAAATTTTATGTTGCCAAATGACAACACAAACCATCAATGTGGCTCAGCTATATAGACTGAAAAATGAAAGCATTTTGGCAGAACAGACATTTTTCCATTTGCAGTAGATTTCTCCCTAAATCAAGATTTGGATGGCTTTTATCAACAAATATCATTCCAAGATACAAGCAGATGATCTATCCTTGTGTACCATGGGTGACTCTAAAAAAAAAAGCAGATTTTTTTTTTATTCTGTCACGTTTTGGGGGGTTGGGAATAAAATAGAAAGCATGGTTACAAAATCATTGTTTTCTTACAACAGGCTGTATTTCCACAACAAGCAAAGTCATATCATCATTCTTCTTATAACTGAAATGGATTTATAAAATGGATGTCTACTCAAAACGTTCTATAACATAGATTTGTCTAATTTAGTATCCGTGATGTGGGTTAGTCTATAATTTCTAGAATTCTCACCCCACATGGATTAAGTATTCCTAACACACTGACTCCCCATCTCCCCAAGAATTCCCTCCCCAAAGTTTTCTCAGTGTTCCAAACCTAGCTAAGCCACACAGCCAACAATTGCATTGGGAAGATAATACTCATGTGAATATCCATGTGAATATGTATTATATGTGTGTGTGCACATATGTTTTTGTATGTGTGTGTGTCAGTGGTGGGATTCAAAAAAATTTATTACCGGTTCTGTGGGCGTGGCTTGGTGGGCATGGCAGTGGAAGGATACTATAAAATCTTCATTCCCACCCCACTCCAGGGGAAGGATACTGCAAAACCCCCATTTCCTCCTGATCAGCTGGGACTCAGGAGGCAGAGACCAGATGGAGGCGGGGACAGTCAGAGGTGGTATTTACCAGTTTTCCAAACTACTCAAAATTTCCGCTACCAGTTCTCCAGAACTGGTCAGAACCTGCTGAATACCACCTCTGGTGTGTGTTGGGGGCGGGGGTCTGAGTAATAGAAAATAATGGCATCCCATTGGGATCCCATCCTCATCCTCCATTTCATCATGTGTAGAAAGCAACCAAAAAAAACCCTCTATGTCTAAAATGGAGAGTCCCATCTTAATATAAGAGAAAAGCCTAATAAATTAGGATCCTAACTCATATGGCAATTCCATTGACAGGAGGAGACATCTACTATAGATATTTATCTTGGAGGAGGACAGACCTAGCTACTTGATAATAGTTCCCTTAAAGATGAGTAGAATGACATTTTCCAGAATATCCAGAGAAGGATCCATAGTTATTTTTGGAACTCCTTTCAAAAGGAGTAGCATGATTACAAAAGAGGTTTTTTTATAGGGTAACATATGTTCTTCAACTGGTAGATTTAAGACACCTGAATAGGTAACAAACCAGTTCAAAGTTGAACTTTCTTGTATAAGGCCCTCTGTCATTTAAAGCTGCATATAAGGAGAACATTCATTTTGTAACAAATAGTTAAATCAAGTGCAACCTGTTTTAATTTATTTCTAAATGAAGTCATATCGCAACATCTTGCATGGAAGTTTGTTTTTAAAAACCATTAATTTAATAATTGTCTTTTAGGGCAAAAAAGGCAAATAATTGGTTTATTGTTTCTCATTTGCTTTCATTATTCCACAATTGTTCAACTCTTCCTTTTGCTTCAATAGATGAGAATAGTGCAGCTAATTTTTGTGGCAGTTCTTGATAGCCACCATTTTGATTTACTGAAAATATTTCAGAATATGCAAATATTCCTCACCCTGGGGCATCCTGTGAAAAATAATCACACTCCTCAAGGGGAATTCAGCATTGTGTAGAGTCATGTGTCTAGTGACTAACATTGTTCTTCAGATACCCCCAGTAGTGCAATATCTGACACATTTTGAAGAAATGAAAACACATCTGCAGAGATGAGATTTTCTATTACCATCTGTACTTACAATATAGTTAAAGATAAGGGAACAATGAACATAAAAAGAAAATGAAATGCCAAATAATGGATTAGTGACAAAACCAGTATCAAAGAAAGACTGAAGAAGTCAGTAAAGAAAATTACTGCATAGAGGGGTCAAAAATTCAAGATGGCAGTCATAGCCATATACTTGAAGCCCCACCTGTTTTTATGTGCCTCAAGCAATGCATTTGAAAAGTGCCTCAACTGCATCGGTTGTGCCCAGTGGTGAAATTCAAATTTTTTTACTACTGATTCTCTGGGCGTGGCTTGGTGGCCATGGCTTGGTGGTGTGGCAGGGGAAGGATACTGCAAAATCTCAATTTCCACCCCACTCTGAGACCAGCCAGAGGTGGTATTTGCCGGTTCTACGAACTACTCAAAACTTCCGCTACCGGTTCTCCAGAACCTGTCAGAACCTGCTGGATTTCACCCCTGGTTGTGCCTATTGCCTTGATTTTTGACATACACACCCTGAAGATACCCTTGATTGTCTATTTTTCTGTCCACCTAGGAACATAATCATTATTTAGCAGAAAAGGCAACATCGGAGTTTTGTCTCAGTCATATTACCAGAGTTGCTCTAATAGTGAGATGGGTGGCACATAAATTTAATTAATTAATTAAATCTTTAGCTTGGGACGCTGATATGTGGCTACACAAAACCATATTTTATATTTGTTACCTTCCTTATGCATTGGATTTGTCCAATGCATAAGGAAGGCAACAGTGTCCAGCCAAAACTTCTTAAGAAGAAATCTGAGCAGGCATGTTCTTTTACAGAAAGAAACTGGAATCAGCTAAATTAACTTGAATGACTTTTGAAATAGAAATCTTGCTCACTTTGTTTGAAGCTTTATAAAGCTGTTCATTACATTTGCAACTAAGTAAATCAGTATTTGCTTCTTAACTGGGCAATTTCCAACCTTATCCAATTTGCCTGTTTGAATTAATCCCCAAAGATTTT